CTGATCTTAATCTCAGTCACGAATCTGGTAGATAGCATCATAAAAGGTTTCCCTAAAGACATGTTGTTGTGTGTGTGTGTGTGTGTGTGTGTGTGTGTGTGTATTTGTGTTCTCCATTCATATCCCATTACCACTGATGCTGTTTTAAAATCACGATGAAATTAAGTTTCCAGGATGTGTTGCTGTGCTGCAGTTGTAGTCCAGCTCTCTGATTTTTGTTCTATTTGATCCAGTTGGAAACTCTACAGAAGTTCTCTGGTTAGCATTGTACACTGAACACAAATTCAAACATAACACATTTGTTTTTGCTCCCATTATCCCCAGGGTTAAGTTAAAGATCTGAGGCTGTTTTAATGCACTCAGTAGATACATGTCTCTCACATTTTGGTCACCAATTAGCTAAAATCCTGAGTAAGCACTTCTCCTTTTCACAGCATCATTACTGCACAGGCGTGCCTTGGGATGGTCACAATAAAAGCTTATGTATAGCACAACACAATGCCACAGATGTCGCAATTTTTCAGGGGGTGTGCCACTGGCAAGCTGACTGCAGGAATGTCCACCAGAGCTGTTGCCTGTGAACTGAATGTTCATTCCACAACCATGAACTGTCTCCAATGTGGTTTCCCTAAATTTGGCAGTAAATCCAGCTGAGGTTGATTAAAATAAAGCTAGAAATACTGCCCCGTTGTTGTGTGCATCTGCAACTCTAATGAATAACATTGAATGTTCTTCAGCCCCGACAAACAATACCATCAGCAGTGTGAGTGAGATTTCTATCAAACACATTAGTACTCACCCACATATTCCTGACTGAGAACAGATTTAAATATGCAACATAAAAGAAAACACCTCTGTGGGTGCACAGGGGCTTTAAAAATATATGGGCTGTATCTGAAACCACCTACTACATACTACCAATAAATGCAGTATGTGCATTAGTAGTATGCAGTATGAAACTGTTAAATGGATTTGTTTCGCAGTACGCTCGGCCAGGCTTTGCCAATTTCCAGTTTTGGAAAGTAGAAGTTAACAATAGCACGGATAATAGCAACCCACCACTACTGTATAGTGGCAGTGGATATAGGCCTCTATGTTCTGCTCTGTCCCTAACAACAAAAATTATAACTGACCGTTAGATTTAAGGTCTGCATGTTGTGTTTTGTGTTTTTATTAACAGCTTGCTAAGGTTAATGTTTCTGTCTTTGGGATATCGAGTGTTAGCTTAGCAGGCTTAACTTAAATGTTACAGATATGTTTAGAATACAGTAGTTGGACAAATTTAGTTATACGTTTGTTACAGATGTAGCTTTGTTATAATTGCAAATGGTTCTCCTCACATGAGATTAAATGTTAGTTGTTAGTTGTTTCAGCCCTTTGCAATGTGGGATACATCAGGAGAGGTCAACTGGTTTAATGTGCAATGAAGATTTTTTGCTGAACCACTTCGACATCCGGGTATTTTGCTTTCTTTTGCATACTGCCTACTATATTTTGGGCTGTAATCAACCACAGAAAGTCTTGGTCAACCAAAACCCTACCTACTCTTCAACCAATCGATTAGTTGATGGGGAAACAATTCTGCACATTATCTCTAGATTAACTAAATCGACTGCAGTGCACTGAGGGTGAACTCAACAAAGCTTTTTTTTGTCTGTCATAGAGCTCAACATCAACACGTGCTTAGGGCAAGTAAATTCTGTGTTCGGGCAATTACAGTGCCTTAAGTGAAAAATAAATGGGATTTTCACTGTAATATTATATGAACATAAACTGAACACTGTATTATTGGAAGCGCCCAGCTGCATGCCCCCCTCGTGGCCCAATTGTTGAAAAACGCGCACTAAAGTGCCCTCCTGGGAGCCAAAACGCACACTGAAGTGCCCTCTTGGTAGCCAAAACGCGCACTAAAGTGCCCTCCTTGGAGCCAAAACGCGCGCTAAAGTGCCCTCTTGGCAGCCAAAATGCCCTCCTGGGAGCCAAAATGCATGCTAAAGTGCCCTCTTGGCAGCCAAAATGCCCTCCTGGGAGCCAAAATGCATGCTAAAGTGCCCTCTTGGGAGCCAAAATGCGCGCTAAAGTGCCCTCCTGGGAGCCAAACACGCGCTAAAGTGCCCTCTTAGCAGCCAAAATGTCCTCCTGGGAGCCAAAACGCTTGCTAAAGTGCCCTCTTGGCAGCCAAAGTGCCCTCCTGGGAGCCAAAACGCACGCTAAAATGCCCTCCTGGGAGCCAAAACGTGCACTAAAGTGCCCTCTCAGATGGACTGTATTCATAATAGATATGCCACAATAATATAAGTAACCAGCGCCAATTAGTTAGTCAATGAGAATGTGTATGTTTGAGGGGCATAAGCACATACAGCGAGCAGCAGCAGGGACCCACTGTCTGACACTGGCACACTGTTAGGACGGAAACAGAGGGCTTGGCAGGGACAAAGCACCTGCAGCAACAGGCGAACACACTGTCTGGTCATTTTGACTTGACCCGCTGACTTCACTACAAGCTGATTGGCTGTAGATAAAGGTGACGTGTTTTACGCTCTAAAACCAGCCCAGCTGATTTGACCAGCTGGGTTGCAGGTGACACCATCAGCCGGCTTGAGTCGAGCTCAGACGGCCAGTTCACAGCACTACAACTTTTGTCTGCAACGTTCTAAAACAGTTTCATCTCATTGTTAATCTTTGGTCTGAACTGGGTTTAAGCTGACATACCCTCTGCTGAATTCATCATGGGTTATTTTAACAGGCTTAACAAAACACCTCCAGACACAGGACTACTGTAGTTGAACTTCCTTTGACTTGTAATCTTAACTGTGTTTTCCTTTAAGTCAAATTATTTTGTTATCTCTTTTACCGACTTGAAAGAAAGCAGATCAAATGTGTGTGAAATCATTGAAACATCTTAATTTGTAGTTCATGTGTCAGTGCTGTGTTTGTCCAAAGCACCTTCATCACAAGACATCTAGATGTTGAAATTGATCTTGCGAAGACAGTCAGTCACTAAATTACAGATATATTATGATTATCAACTCACAGGACTCTTTCATCAGAAGATATAAACCACTGTCACATTAAAGCTGTGACATTATTGAAGGAGTTTTTTGTCTGTTATGGATCATTTGCTCGCTCCATACACATGCCTCGTCCATTTGAATACAATATATCAGATACTCCAGTCTGATCAGATTGTATGACTGTGTATTGTTTGTTTAACGACCATTTGTTGGTGAAACAGTGCATTTTCTTTTGTTTTGTAACTGGTTGGCTAATTAAATATGTGATTTCCTTTATCTCTTATTTCGTTTGCATGTGTCTTGATTGTTTATTCATCCTGGCAATATCACTTGACTTGTGCCATGACTTTTGATCCGACACATTTTGCCATGGTAACCATATCATTCCTGTCCCTCCCTCCCTCCCTCCTCCTCCTCCTCCTCCTCCTCCCCGCCCACATCCTCGTCCTCTGTGTTTCGTCTGACTCGCCTGAATAAAAGTTCCCATGATGCACGGTGCCACCACCTCCACTGTTTCGTCGGCTTCGACCCCAGTCACCAATGTTCCTTTCGCTGAATCTGCCGCCTCGAATCAGGTTTGCTCTTTCGTTTCAGTTCTTTTATTTTTAGCTGAGTAGGTCCTGAGTCCTGTTCGTAGTCCACTCTCATCAGGTGCCTGTAGTGTCACATGTGTTATGTTCACATTTCATCTGTCCTCACTCTCCAGTCTGTTGTGGTGTGAGCAAATGAAAACAGTTCAGATACCTAACTGTTTTCATCTGAATGTTGTAGTTTGGTGTGTCATGCCTCACTGTCTTGTCTCAGTGTTTTATGTAATCTGTGGACACACAGTATGTGGTCTGGCATCAGTAGCAAAACCGCTGTAATTTAAACGCTTCTGCTTTTCTCTTTCCTTTAACATCCAGTGTTAATTTGCCTTCTGTCGTACAGATGGGACAGATTTCATGGCAAAAATGTCCAAACAGCAAGGGGGGTTTAGTACCTGCCTGTGGCAGAGCAATATAGCAAATATACCTTTTTATATTATATTTTCCAATATACAGTGTGAGATGCTTATGTTATATGTATTTACTTTAAGGAGTTTTCACCACCAATCTTTAGTGCTGCTTTTTAGGGGAATACTTCACACACAGAATTATTTGTATATCTGTTTTTCACCCTGTGGTACGTTGAATTTGTTAAGAGAACTTTGTTTTTCGTGCCTCCATGGTGAACGAAGAATCCAAAAACTGAGAAAATTCTTGACGAATTGAAGTAAAGTGTTTAACAACAGCAAAACTCTATCAAAACGTGTTTACAGACTCTCAAACAACTTGTGCAGTATAATCCAAGTCTCATTCATCCAGTCTTGTGCTCAGTACTCCCCAAACACATGCATTTTCACTTAAACCTAACTATTTTAAACCTGCCATCTCATGTATGGACAAGTAGTGCACCAGGGAACGCATGTGTTTGACCTCTGCTCAAAGAAATGCAGGAGCTGAGTTCAAATGCACATTTGTGCACTTGGATTTTGCTGCATGAGTTGTCTGTGGTTAAACGTGGCCCCCTTTTACTCCAATTCATCAAAAATATTCTCTGTGTAACACGGGGTGAGTAACTGATGCACACAAGATCATGTTGTGGGTCAAGTATTCCAATTCTCCAATCCAACTTCTCCTTCATGGCCTGAATGTGCTCATGTATCTGAAATGAAGAACAAAATGTAGAAGGAAAAATATTAATACACACAGTTCAGCAGATTTTTAAACTATAATATGATGGCTGGTAGGCAGTTTCCTTTCCAACAATGATAGTAACAGTTATTCAGAAATACATGCTTTCATTGCACCTTGACCACTTGCTGTTAAAAACCAAATCCTGTCATGTTCTGGCTAAAGTCCTGGCTCTACATTATTAGTATAAACTTACTGAATCATGGCAGGCTGCTGTTTTTAACTGTGATTTCACTGCTCCTCCTCACACCCCTGCCTTTCTCTCTTCCAGTAGACCCGTCTGAGCTCCTGACCCCTGATCCAGTGGAGCTCCAGTGCGTTCCCATGGAAACCCATTTCTGTCCCGTCCCCAAACTGCTGGTGGCAGCTCCAGTGGCGCTAAACTCAGTAAGCCTTTCCCGAAACCCCAGTTAAAGTCCCTGACACCTGCGCACTACCAGGGTGGTCATCTTTTCTGAATGCAGCAAACATGTGCCTCGCCTACAGTGCACACTGACTGAGTGTGAAACCTCTTTTACGAGATATTACGAACGTTAACGAAGCTGCGATGACGCAATACAAGCCTGGACGTATTACTGTTGCTTTAAAGCAGCCATCCTGATGCATTCTGACTTGATCAGGCTGAGCAATAGAGCTCCCTCGTTCTTACAGCCATACATGCCCACACCTTAAAAGTGCAGCAGACATGTGCACACACACACACACACACACACACACACACACACACAAACACACATTTTAGACTACACGCCCTTTATGGGTTGGAGCCATCACATGAGGCGACCCAACACTTTTGACTGTTCCAAAGTCAGAAATTCTGGAAATTGAGACCATTTGAGTGGCGAACGGACCTGCTGCTGGTCTACAACCAGTACGTGTTGTCAAAACGAAAGAGTGTTTCATATCATGTCATGTTTACGTTTCAAAGATGGCTACAAATGTAACATTTGTGTTGTACCATGTGTACCATTAAGTTTGTTCTCATGGTCTCATCTTGCCTGATGAAACGCCAACGAGTCGTTGTTAATTTGTTTGTGCCTTTGATTTATCTGCTCAGCTGCAGAGGAGACTTAGTTTCCCGACGTAATTCAAAACACTTGACAGCATACACTGAGAGATGTTGTTATTTTTGCAATTAAAGGCAATACCTTTTGTCACATACATACTGTGTGTCAACCTGTCGAAGAAAATCTAGGATTAACAGTGATCGCCACTTAAAATTTATATCGTTTCATGAATGTTTAGTTAGATTTGAATCAGTTTTTTAGCCCCTGGTTTCACAGTCAGTATCTGGTACTTAAATAAAAGCAGCAAATGAGACTTTACTTTTTGTTTAGCGCAGCAACCTTAAAGAACTACAAATTGACAGTGTCATAAAATTAGGATACAATCAGTTCTATACTAAAGAGGCTGAGTTGAGAGATTTCTAAGAATGTGGCTCTTGATTTAAGAAACAAACTGCCTTAAAGCAGGTGAGATCGTGTCATTAAAACGGTTGAATATGAGTGATGCAGTATCTTTATCAGTGGTTGTTTCTTGGCTGTGATGGGTAAGGTTTGTTTGTCCTGTTTCCTCCATGATTTGATATCCAAATATGGTGTAAAAGAAAGACAATCTACAGGCGACGAGTCAGATGTCCCGTGTGAAATCGTAGTAAAGACAAAGCAATGATTCTGGGAGTCAGATCTAAGCTAACAGACTTATAATTGGCACCTCTTAAACTTCTACATCTGATGTCAGAGTTATTGCACAAGATGGGAGCTGGATTTGTTTCCTGATGTTGTGCCTAAAGTCTGTGTGTGCCAAGCAGTCGTTGGTATATGCAAGGAGTTCCCCCCCCCATTCGATGCAATACCTGAATAATTCCTCTAACGCAGAGTTGTCTTTTAAAAAGGCAGTTTGTGTAATTGTCTCCTTTTATGCGGCTTTTGGATTGAATACGTGGCACAAGATTTTTATGTTTTTTTTGGCTCTTCAGGGAGAAAGCTTAGAACTTGAAAATGTCCTGTCTGACTTTATAATGTGTCGTCTTTTCTACTGATGTGTCCTTTTTGTCAAAAGCAGTCAGACTCTGAATATTGCAGCCACAGCTGTTATAATCAGAATTGAGTTATGGCAAAGTCGGGAGATGGAGGAATAAATTACTCGTTTGATGTCTGATGGTTAAAAAAAAACGGCAAACCATTTGGGTTTTTGGTTTTCAAATGTCTGTAAAGAATTGCTTTGTAGGGGCGAAAAATTGAACGTAACGGCTCTGGAAAGCGAGCTGAAATCACTTTTATCCAAATTCAAATGTGCCTCTTTCAAGTCTCCTCAAACCACCACTGTCAATACACTGTAAGAACAGACCAGTGCTCAAAGATAGGTGTGTTATTTGGTACGTTATTATAACAGTAAATCACATCTGTACTAGTTTCTTCTCTGAGACAGCTGTGCTGTCTTATCGTTTATGTAAAGAAATAAATTAGTGACTTGTGTGCATACTTAAGTGTGTTGAAAAAGACAATGAATCACATATTTGGTTAGTTGTAAATGCTGCAGATATTACGGCATTTCCCACTGAACATTATTCATTTTAAATAATGTTATTGTGTCGTGAATGTATCTAATGCAAAAACTCTACACATGCCCTTCTAAAAGACCGGCATGTTGAAATGTAATGATTCACTATATATATACTATTTCTGAGGTCACATAGGTACCATGCTGATACTGTGTTAAGACATATTAAAGTATGTGTATTGTTATATAGATTTATATTTAATGTCAATGGATGGTGTGACTACTTTTAGAAATATCTTTCACTCTCGGAAAAGGTAGAGCAGAATTGTACTCTTTGAAGTACAAATGTACACCGTACAGGTACATTGAAGTACCATTTCTTGCCAGTCAGTTGTTGTACCCCTCCCTTCAAAAGTACCCAAAGTGCCCAAAATGCACCTATAAACATGGTATAATCGCTGGGCAAAAGAAAATTAGCATTCAGACCTTTTTTTGGCATTTTATTTGAATAATGTGGATTGGTCAGTACTCCTTGTACTACAGTTCCTGGTTGTGTAGGTTCCCACTGGGGAGGCTGTACACAGAAGTAACAGTGTAGACAGGCCATCCAGTGGGAGTTGCTAGCGCTGTGACAGGAACGTAATCCCTCACTGGCTTCCCACCCATTAACACTGTCAACTGTGTTTAATGGAAACAGCTTGGGAGCACTGCTTCCTGGGACTGATCCTGGGTTTGGGTGGGTGAATGCTTTCCCCCCTTTACCACCTAAGCAACCTCATTAGTGACTGTTCATGTTGAATTGGTATAAATGTGTCCCTTAAAGGAACAGAGTGCTTTCTTTCCATGTTAAATGAGAGGATTATAACCACTCTCATGTTTGTGTGTTAAATATGAAGCTAGAACCTGCTGCCACTTAGTCTAGCATAAAGGCTGGAAACAGGGGAAAGTCGTGAACATACCATGGACAATATAGTGAATGATTTACACACTACACAGTCAATAGGAAGTGATTCGATCAATGAATGCATTTACATGAATAAGGAGGAATGAATAACCCATCCAATTCAACATCGTATTACATTAGGAGAAACCTGAACATGCTAGCTGCAGTACTCCAAAAGAAACTGGGATGAATTCAGGGAATATGAATAACTGGATTTCTCTGTGCTCATGTAAACATCATATCCCAAATGTGATCATAATCAAGATAACCCTGATTAACAGGTTATTCATGTTCATGTAATTGCGCTCAATGTCAGTGACATTCTAGAATATTCCCACTGCCACTACTTTAGCTAGGCTACTGTCTGCTGTCCCAACAAAAACAGAAAAGCAATTTTTTTGGGAACAGATGGATGGCGGACACTGTATGTTGCTGGTGAGTGTAGTGCTTTTATCACCACTGGCTTTGTTAGCTTGTTGTTGACTGTGTAGTCAACCCTCTGTTGATGTAGTGTTTTGTCAGCTACCTAGCTGTTGTTAGTGTCAAGATATTGTTGTCATAGAAACATACCCATGGGGAGCACATCATTTTAAAAAAGCGCTTTTATGAAGCGCTCCCTGGTGCCCTGCCACCGCTTTTCTGCTGAAGAAAAATGCTTTGTGGACACAGGCCCTTAGGAGTTTAAAACATTAGTTATTAGCAGACTAGTTTAATAGCAGAGAGGCTATTAATTTTTTCAGCATAAAATCTAACCATAAAAAGTCTTGATATGGATGGTTGTTGGTTTTTAAATTGACTATTCCAAGTCCCGCCCACTTAGTTACTGTTGCTAGGTCGGACAAGCTTGACAAAAGGAGACATGGCGATGCTGGTGCAGCTTAGCTAGGTGCAGCAGTGTGTATAGCAGGCAATTTAGTTTACAGAAACTAACAGCAAGTGCTACAGTATGCGATGGGACGATTTATTTATGATGATGTTGTGTCTATACAAAATAATAACCACAAAAGTTACTTAAGGGAGGAACATAGCCCCACAGAGATAATATTAACAAAGGAGCATTAGCCTTTATATTTTCTGGCTAACGACAATTCATGTCATTCTTAAAAATACGTCACCAGCCTTTTTCAAATCCTTAATATTACCACAGAAATCATGAGGAAGCAAACAAGGCTGATACTGGTGATCTGACATCAGGCTAAATCCTTTTAGCAATATGTTAGCTAGCTAGCTTGTGTTTTGCTAACATTAGCTAACTTAAGATGTGACTATATATATAATGTAATGTGTCTGTAAAGATTGTGACAGTCCCCAGCCACATCTTTTAACCATCTTCAGAACTTGGTTGTCTTTTCAACATTTATAATCTTAGCATGTAGCATAGCTAGCTAAGTATAGCAGAACAGAGGAAAGTCGACCGAGGTTCGGCCAAAGCTTGCTCAACTGTTATTGGAGCACAGAATGAAAAGGGGCGGGACTTAAGGCCCGAACATACTCGGGCCTTTACTCCGCGAGTAATGTCCGCAGTCATTCGGGCTTTCATAGTCGAGCGCACTTCCGCGTTGTAGTTTCCTGTAAAAATGTCCGTGAAAAATCCCCGCGATGTGAAAAATACATGCTGAGCAGTCACTGGTGCGCGAAGCGAAGTCCACGCGGTTGTAAAATCTGAGCTTTGCGTGCACAGGGCTTGCGGACGTCCGCTTTGAGTCCGCGCGGACCTCCGCAGAGTCCGTTCCGCGTACGTGCCGCCCAAGTATGTTCGGGCCTTTAGAAAGTACTGATGTGACATACCTTATCTTCTCAGTGCTATCTGGTGAACAAACTATGTACTATTGACACTATTTCAAAATTACCCCAAGCTTAATTTGGCATTTTGACTGCAGTTTCTAATACAACATATCTACAATAAGCTAATATTGGTTGATTTATTGGTCTCACTCTACTTTCTACAGCGCTAGGCTAACGTGTTCCCCCTGTTTCCAGTCTTTATGCTAAGCTAAGTTAACTGTCTCCTGGTTCAAGCTTCATATTTACGGCACAGATGTGAGTGTGATATCAATCTTCTGATCTAACCCCTTTAAAGAAAACAAATAGGCTAAACTAATTTCCCAAAATGCTGAAGTATATATTCAACCTATCATACATTTTTATCTACATGGTGGATCAAACATCTCCTAGCCTGCTATATACCAGTTATCGAACATCTTTTAAAGAAATGTACTTTGTGGTACAGAAACGTACTTTTCCTTTACCCCTGTTTTTGAGTGTGTTGAGCAGCTATGTTCTCTCGAGTCCTTGAAATATTTCTCTCCTATTTGATGAAATTGATGATTCGAATGTCTAGACAATTAAGTTTGTCTAAATCTTACAGCTTTTAAAGACTAGCTTTGTCCAGCCAAGAAAACCCCTCCCTCTAGCCTTCGTCTCCTCCTCCTTCACATCATTATGCCTTCACTAACTGCTGTCCAGCTGGAAAAAAAAACAGAATACTTGATTAATAAATTGTGCCTCTTGAGGGCATTTGAATTTTGAAGTACATATATTGACGTATGTATGCACAAGAGCGTGGTCTGGGAACTGCAGAGTGGCATGAGAAAAATTAGTTTTTACCTCTTTCCCTTTCTCATTCTCTTGTACTTGATTTCCTTTAGGCCTCACTGTATTTCTCCCATACAGTCATGAATCATTACTCTGGAATATGCAAAATGCTCTGATCATTGCGTCCAGTGACCAGATCCTTTAGCATGCGGACAGTCAACTCGGTCCTGAGCATACTTGTGTTGCCCGGGGCACAAACAAAGGGCCTTATTTCTTGATCACTGTATAAAGATGTGATAGCTGTGTATGAAAGTGACATGTATTAATGGTAAGTTAAGCTTTTTTTTTTAAACTGACATAAAAAACACAGCATGGAAATAAAAACTCATTTATACATAGTTAATAGTTTGTGTAGACCAAGAAAAAAATATATAATATGAAAATCATTTGTACACAATGATGGAGTCATTGTTAATGGTAATAGTTGCTGTTGCTGTGGCAACAAAATGACAACATGGCTACCTTTCTATTACCCTAATTGTGATTTTTTTCACATTAATTGAAATAACATACATCACCAACTTATTCAAAAAGGGAATGTCTAATTAGTTTGTCTTGTTATTGCGACGTGATTAAATATTTTGTATGGAAAACTTAAATCCTTGTAATATCCAAAGGTCCTTAGGGGAGATCAGGTGTTTATTTTGTTTTGTTTATTTGACCTTAATTGTTTTTTTTTTGTTCTTGTACATGGTGTTTTTGAGAAATAAGAATGGACTTTGGCTTTTAAAGCAAACACCTGTCTGTCAGGAAGGTTAAAGAGGCTTTTGGACTAATGGAAAGATCTTCATCCTTTTCTGTAAAATCAAACACTCCTCACTGTTCACTTCCTGCAGACTGACTGGCCCTCGCTCAGTTTCCTCTGCACGGAGCTTCATTAGTGGGTTCTGTTTTTAGTTTTTTGGCCAAGAAGGTGGTCCAGAAGTCTCTTTGTGCCCAGCTGTGCTGGGTGATGTCGATCCTTGCTGAGGTGTATACGAATGTGTGATGTTCACCTTGTTTGCACTTATGTACATAACTATGTCAAAATACTCAAAATTTATTTTGAATAAATATAGATAAAAGAGTTGATTAAAAATCAAATCAATGTATTGTTAATGATATGAGTATGTCTATCATTTTATTACAGTATCAAAAGATTGCTCTGAGGGATCTGTCCTTTTCTTTGTTTGTTTGTTTGCTAGAGCCCTGTTCTTTGCCAAGCATGACATTGCCTAGCTGTAAACCACAAATGGTTTGCTTTATAAAAGCTTTTTTTTGTTCATTTACAGGGATATTTTTGTTTCTATCATATCTGACCCTGACATCAAACACAAATGGTGGATTAGAAGATTATAGACAGTCTGAAATATATTTAATAAACCAGTACTAACCTCGTCCTTTAAAGGGGGACTACACCCATTTTCAAAATTCATACATGTTATTCCTGTGGTCTAAGACAGTCCAGAAATATAACAAGAACAACTCTCTCCCAAATCCCAAAATTAAAGTGCACAAACTCAAATTTGCGATGTCGTCAAGTATAAAGTCTGGAGCTGCTCTATAGGCAATGAACTGTGAAAGATGTCCAGATCAGTGGTTCCCAACCTGGGGCCAGGAGCATCACGGGGGGTCACAGGGTCCTCTTGGTTTTAAGGGGTGTAAAAAACATTATTCTTACAAATACACAGGCCTATATGTCAGCATTTAAATTATGTCTATTAAAAAAAACTAAATAAAATTGTTAGTTGTATAATTTAGATTATTAAAGGTATAAACTTGTAATCTCCCAGGATCATGGCACGGTGAACACCTCAACGAAAGCTTCATTCATTTAGTCTTCACTCTCTGATAGAAAGCAACGCTCAGCAGTTAAAACAACCAAAGAGCTAAAAGAACAATTGCATAACACAGACAGAACTGTGTTAAAAGTTCATGAAATATCAGGAAAACTAAAATAAAATGGGTCACTTAGTCAGGGGTCGCCAGTTTACTCAATGATAGAAAAGTGGTTCCCTGAAGGGAAAAGGTTTGGAACCACTGGGGAATGATCTGACTATATGGGAACGTTTATGTTTCACTGCTAAGAAGACTACAACAGAATAAAGCTCATTTGGGTATAAAAAAAAAAACAAACAGTGTGGGTCCACAAAATAAGTCTCCTATTCATTGTCTTTAGAGCAGACTTTATACCTGATGACATCACAAGTTTGAGACTTACTTCTCTGGTTTGAGAGAGAGTAGCTCATGTTCACAAGTATTGATTGAACTTTCTCAGGCCATGGGATGAACATATTGGACATCTTCATTTAGGTGGTGTTCCCCTTTAAACGCAGGTGCATTCCTCTCTCAGTAATGCACCAAAATAAAGCACAGAGCAGCTCCACCTGCAGGCTGAAAAGCAGTCAGGAATAAAAGAGGAGCAGATACAAGAATCAGACTGTGGAGGGACGTGGATGTGAGATGTCTTCACAGGGTTTTAAACTCACTTTACTTTTGTCATTTTGTGAAATGGGTTCTTCTTTGCTCCCTTGGTGTCATTATCCAAAACAACAATAAATCTGAATTCTCCTCAGGATTTTAGTCAAAAATTGCAAACAACCTGGTTTTCCAATGTTATCCTTGCAGCAGCAGCAACATCCTTAGCAACTGTGTTCCTGCAGATTTGGACATGTGATGCTCCTCAATTGCTATTAAAGCCAACGATTTTGTTGCCATGGCACTTGTCCTAGCAGTGGATTGACTGAGTCATCCTGGTGAATCGGTTCACAGCCCTCTGACTCCACACATGGAGTGGACTTAACATACTGTGGGTTTCCAGTCACCAACAAGTGAATAAGACTGTGATTTTGTTTTGAAATTGATTTGTTGTTGTCATTATTTTAAAACAATTTAGTTGTAATCGTGCCTTTATCATGCAGGATGTAGTTGTCCTCTTTTACTTTCTACATTTAAATTGACTTAAAACAGCACATGTACCGAGTGTGTGTAAAATACATCCCTTTATTTAAACTCCTTCGTTGGTGAGTCGTTATTAAATTGGGTACAGTTGCAGACTGAATGGCAACCCGTGGAAGATGATGAGGGCCAAAGACTGTTCAGGACTAAGCCATATGAAAAACTCTCTCTGACACTCTAGGACAGACTTGAAAGTGACTGCTGTTTCTTAGTCATCTATCGTTTCACTCTGTTTTCTGCTTGTGGTGCTTGTATGTGCTGCTGTGCTACATGCCAATTTATTTTGCAGTGTAAAGCTATTAAGAGTAAGTTACTGTGCCTATGATGAGTTCTGCGATTTCTGTTTGACCTTTAATAAAACACATAATTGTGATCCTCTTGTGGTGTGTTTTGTTGATTGTCATCTTTTTGTGTCACCTTTAAAGGGACTTTATCTCATGGATTGTGAGGTTTTGTCCTGTGTATGACATGATGATATTTATATGAATAAAGGTTACATTTTCAGTTAAAGTCATGGATATCTCATGAACTTAGTCTTACAGTATATTGAAATATTAAAACTGCAATTCCACTGGGTTAAAGCTAGTATTTGATCAATACTTGGGGGAAAAAAGATGTAGGCCATTACCTCTGCCTTCAATGATCTTCCAGGCGACAATGTTTACTTAAGCTTAAGCGCTTTGCAAATGTACATATTAGACCATACTAAACAACTTGTTTTTTGACAAAATAATTGTAGTTTTGGAGTAACTTTTCCAAGAATCATGCAAAAAATAATTAAAAAAACCCATGAATAATACCAACTGTAGAATTTATATTTCATACATTTTGTGGAGTAACTTAATAACTGGTTGAAAATCAGTATTTCACTGGCCTCTCTGGTTCAAAGTTTTATGTCTGTTGCATCTGTAACCACATGGCACAATGATGTCACAGTGTACTCACACACCCTGGAGTACATTTAAACATCATCATAGCAAGGTGAGAGAAGGTGATCCATTGGAGGACAAAATTTACTCACTTCCTTTGACACATCTGCTGACTTAATTTACACCATTTAAGCTTTCATAAATGAAATATGGGTTGATTCATAATTATTGTTTTGCAACAGTAATACATTTGACATTTATCTTTCAGTTATATAATACTTTTTTTTAATTATCGCTGTGTCTTTATTTTTTAGTGATTGTAGAGGTACAGTAAGGAAACAGGGAGAGAAAAAGATGATTAATATTGCCATGGAAGAATTACTGAACAGACCCACTGGATGCAGGCTTAGGGGTCCAAAGTGTAAGGGTGGTCTCCCTCTCTGTCACCTGCAAAATGTCACTCAAATTAACACATAGTGACCCAGAAGAGATTAAAATGACCAGAGAGATGCAAAGGAACTGCAAAGAGACACAAAATACCTAAAAAATGTGCAAAAGAACCAGGAAGAGACACAAAATGACCAAAAAGGAGACATAATTACCCAAAGACACATAAAACAACACAAAAAGAGGTTCAACAACTATAAACCATGTGTGTTGTCCTCTTATGTAGGAGAGGTGGGGAGGCCTTTTGCATATCTGTGCCCAGGGGCCCATTGTTTGATAATCCGTCCATGGGTATGGCATACAGCAAACTTTCCTCAGCCAAAATCAAACCAGGGACACTGCAGTTACATAGAATGTGTTTTAACCACTAACCACATAAGATGCTGCTTACAGTTTCTGGCATTCTGAAGTAACTGATTAACTTTTGCAATGGGGTCAAATGGTTATTAGGATTCAATTGGAACTATGCCCATTCTGTGGGTCCACAAAATCAGTATCCCATTTACCATCTATGGAGCAGCTCCAGACTTTACACTTGACATCACAAGTTTGAGACTTACTTCTCTGGTATCTGGCTTTGAACGACAGTTTGTCAAATTATAGGCCGTTGAAATAATACATTTGAATTCTTAATTTAGGTGGTGGTCGCCTTTTATGTTTGCAGCAACTGTAAAGCTTTTTTCATTCCTGTAGAGGCTTTTATTGTGAAAACAGTCACACCGGACGTCTTGTCGTCGCTAACGGAAACCAGACTGTTAGCTTCAGGAAATCAGTTGGTGGAAAAAGCTTTCCTTTCTGTAATCAAACCTCTTCAGCGCAGAGTCAAACATACACTGGAGCAGCTACAAATTGTAGCCAATGGACCCTCGGATTACAATACTGAATCTGCAGTGTGTCCGTCGATAGCACGCCCGGGTGCCAAGGCGCCGGGCCGGGCCGGAACCAGAACCAGGCCCGGACGGACGGACATCTCCAGTGCTGCGTTTTGCGACACCGGCGGGCTGCTGTGTGTGTGTGCAGGAATTGGCATGCTGTGTTTAGGGGAAGTGTAGTGTGTATCAGCGTGACTTGCTGTCAGTAGCTAGACAGCAAGTTCGTGAATGAGTCCTCGGTACTTGTGATTTATCAGATCGGATGTGAAGGCTTGAGGCTCGAGCATGGGACAGCGTGAATTTAGCCAGAAGCGAGCTAGCTTAAATGCTAGCTAACACCAGAGTTAACGTTAACGGACGTCAACTTTTACTCGTTAATTAGCGAGGCAGCGCAAGAAAAACAACGAGCATGAGCGCTACACTCGGGTTTATGTGATCGAAGAAGAGTTATTATACATCGCCTAACATTTGTCAGTACGCTTGTTAGCTTTTTAAAAGCCCTGATAAATGTTTCTGGAGCGAGTATAGCAGTGTAGCTAAGTCGTTAGCTGCTAAGTTAGCCTGCCTCGACCGCCCCAATGAAAGAATACAAAGTGGTCGTGCTGGGCAGCGGCGGCGTCGGCAAGTCCGCGCTGACCGTCCAGTTTGTCACCGGCACCTTCATCGAGAAATACGACCCCACCATCGAGGACTTTTACCGAAAGGAGATCGAGGTGGACTCGTCTCCCTCCGTGCTGGAGATCCTCGACACGGCGGGGACGGAGCAGTTCGCCTCCATGAGAGATCTGTACATAAAGAACGGACAGGGGTTCATCCTGGTCTACAGCCTGGTCAACCAGCAGTCATTCCAGGTACCTGGTGTCACCTCACATACCTGAAACCACACACCTTAAACCCTGCATAGCAATGTAGTTAATCACAGCGTTTATGTGCTATATTTGGGTGTGATTCACACTTCTATTTCCATAGCTCTGCACTATCTACTTTATTATTAGAAAATGGAAATAAATTTGAAGCAAAAATTGAATCCAGTGCTTAAATGCAACCATTTTTAGCCAGTGGTGCTCTAGTCATGGTGAATTTGCATCATTAAATGGGCTATATAGATCTGTGGGTGTATTGCAAAACGATCATTGACTATGTGGCACAATGTATTTGTAATTGTGGAGCAAAATTGTAAAATAATCCCCAAAATCAGGAACTTATGCTACATTTATTCACTGCACAATTGTTCAGCTTTAAGCTATTATGTAGAAACACACGAGACCCTGGGTAAATAAGTGCATTGACACTTTTTAACAAAAAATGGAAGTGTGTCGTCATTCAAGTGTAAACTGAGTGTCAGCTTGAGTTACCAAGCGTGCAAAACAGGTTCATATTAAAATATATGCAGGAAAAGGAGGGTGCTTTTTCATGTCAGAGTAAAGAAAACCTTTGAATTAGGTCAAACTGTGTTTAACAGAAACAGCAAAGTAGTGAATGTCCACAAAAAGCTAAAAATAACCACACAAACATAACTTACAGGTTTAAAAAGGACTGTAGTACTTGTGTAATAATGAAGCTATACAGGGAATGTATTATGATTTACGCCGTGTCCCAGTTTCTGTACTTGTGCTAATTACAATCTGTAATATATTCTTCTTCTCATTGTATACTGTTTCACAGTTGGTGTGCAAAAAACTAGTGCACTGAAGTCTTTTATACAAACAGGAAATGATGCAATACCAACACTCAAATTGCAACTTTGGGAACCTGTTGCCAACTTTACAAAGAGAAAGGAAGATGTTTGATATTATTCTCTATTTGTTGTCTAAAATCTTTATGTAGCTGTTTCACCACCATGCTCAGTTATTGGCAGCTGTGTGTGTGTGTGTTTACATCAACAGGACACTCTAAAGTCAACAGTTTGAAGTATGTACACAGACATTTTAAAGTATGCCTTATTTTCTCTCTTTTCCATTGTGACCTGCATTTTGGAAATCTGATAAGAATACGTTTGTAGTTTGGAATTGGAAAACAACTTCACTGACATACTGATTATTTGTTCCAATGCTACACACAGTTTTCCAGAGAAACCACACACTCATGTCCTCTCCCTCTTCATCTTTCAGGATATCAGACCAATGCGAGACCAAATAGTGCGAGTGAAGCGCTTCGAGAAGGTGCCGTTGATCCTGGTCGGTAACAAAGTCGACCTGGAGTCTGAGCGCGAGGTGGCCGGGTCAGACGGACGAGCTCTGGCTCAAGAGTGGGGCTGCCCTTTTATCGAAACTTCTGCCAAGAGCAAGACCATGGTGGATGAGCTGTTCGCAGAGATCGTCCGACAGATGAATTATTCCACGCTGCCGGAGAAGCAGGAACAGTGCTGCACAGCCTGTGTGGTACAGTGAGGAAAAGGTATAAGCACCACCATTCCTGTCTTCCCTTGCATGGTTGCATTCATATTCGGGCTACCCCAAAGAGCTCATGAGCACAGCACAGTTGGCCACTCACTAATTTTACAAAACGTGATAAAATGTCCCTGCAGTGCCCGGTGTAAAATGGTTCACAAGCTGTCGGGAAATGTGACAAATGGATGACTGTGTGGCGTTTCAGTGCAGTGTGAGGGAGAGGAGAGGTTCGGCTGGAAGTGAGAAAGACGAGTGGGTGGTGCTGCTCTGTGCAAACCGTTGGTTTAGCTTGTTATCATAAGATTGCAGAAAGTATGTGGCATGAAGAACACAACTGTATGAGCAGCTCAGGGCCGTAATGAAGCAGACAGTCCTGTGAGCCGAGCCGGAGAAAGAGGAAAATGTGACATCCTGAAAAAGAAATTATGTTCCAAAACAGGAAGTTCACTTTAGATTCTGTGACAGATGTTGCCTGTTGTAACCACACAGATGCACAATGAGAATGCCAGTTTTAGCCCTTTAAACTTGTATTCATGAGCTGTTTTTTCCTCCTTTTATAGATGCATCATTTGTCTCGATCACCGCAAGGATTTTGATGAACCATGAACCCGGGGACAAACTGACAAAACCTTACCACAGCTGGTAAAGTTTCTGCTCAATGTGGTTTCTGACTGTCTCTCACAGAGCATCTGACAGGAAAGACGTCGGTCCTATTTTTGATATCATAACTGTTAGAAGACGTTTCTGCTGCAACCTTAATGGCCTTTGCGATGATGACCCAGGATAGAGTCAGACAGACGAACTTGTAATGAGTGAGAACGGCCATCTGTGAATTTCATTCTTTTTTTCTCTCTCTCTCTCTCTCCTTTTAGTCGGCAGTATCCCTGAAATAATAAGCAGGAGTGTTTGTGAGGTTGCAGCTTCTTTTTAAAGCTGCTTTAATCACTATTATATACTTTATTATTACTTGTATTATGTCTCAAGTTTGGAATTTGACAAAGTATTTCATAATATTGAAGCATTTTGACTTTTAAGCATGCATACTTCGACCAGTTTGCTGCCCAGGTATGCTGCTCGCTTTATTTTGAAAATCTTGTATAAAGTAGTTCTTCTAACTGACACAGACTACAGCGGCGAGTTTTTTAGCTTCAGGAAACGTAGACAGGATGTACGCCTTTGTGGATTAAACCTGTAACATCAAGGATTTACCTTTTTAGTATTGCAGTAGCCCGAAGCAGCTAAACTCATCTGAAAACATGCATGCTCAAAATTGAAAATGTTCTACTAAATCAACTTGAAGTGATAAGGAAGAGCCATTTTACTGTTTTTAGCCTGAATTCTGTCAAAGTCTCTACAAGGCATGAATTGTGTGGACGCAGGTCTTCCATTTTCAGTTTTCTCGTGGAGTCTCTGTGGGAGAATGATTTTGGAACGACCAAAGGAAGCTCACAGTGCATATTTGTGTTTTGACTACATGACGTGTGTTGCTTTAAATCCAGGAGACGCTGATTTCTTGTCATCAAATAACTCCCGCTGCAATGTGGTTTGATAAAAGTTCTGGCACAGTTAATCAGATTTAACTTTGTGTTTTTTTTCTTTTTCTTATAGTAACCTATTTATTAAAAACTAACGACCTGGGTAGCCAGTTTTAAACTTTTAATTTTATACTAGTTCTTGCTTTCTGTGTCTTTTCAGGATACATGGTACATTTTTTTGTTTTCAAAGCTGAGGATTTAACAGAGCCTTAAATAATTTCTGTTGCACCCTGGTCTCATGTTTCTTTTGTTTTTTTCTTCTCAAAGATATAAAAAGCTGTCGTCATTTGGTAATAAACATGCTGGCCTTTCTGCTTTTGTCACTGGGCACAGTTACAGTATCATCTTTGATCCAATACACAGCGATACATCGATAAACAATATTAGACTACGGGGGCTTTCAAATTAGGGACAGGGCCATGATGTGAGTACACTTGACCCTGAAGTCCAGTTTGTTTGATAAGTGTGAACACTGTCCATTTGAAAGGGTGGCTTTGAGTAGTGTTCATGTGTACACAGGTACGGTACGCATCAGGTGTGAACATCAACTGTACCAAAACACGAAAGTGGACTACTATTTAACACAACTATGACGCGTTTTTACCTGGTTATAAAAATGGTCTCAATGTAAAACTGATGTCTCATATCAGACAGCAGTGCAACCTGCAGCAGACAGACCCAGACCTGCCTTTGCTGCCACCTTTGACCTGCAGTCGGAGCTCCTGTGGGAGGCAGAGAGCTCCATGCGCAACAGCAGTGGCTTCTCCTCCGGCTAGGAGCAGAGCTTCACTTCGCTGCTCTGTCAATCTTTGCTGATAACAGTCTTGAGGGCAGCAGTGTCCATCTGTGGCGCCCTTTTTTAAACTGTAGCACAACAAAAATGTCATGTTAATAATGGCGCAAGTGTATTCGAACGTAGTACTTATTTGAAAGCTGAATGGCAGAGGAGAAGAGAGGAGAGACAATCGCACCTAATATGAAAATGCCCTGACATTTTTCACAGAAATACATCCACAAATAAATAGTGTTGCTCCTTAACTAGTAGGTTAAGTGGAAAATGACAACTTTTCAACCCCCCTACCCCACCCAGCCTTTTTCATTTGGTATGGTTGGCACTGCTGTCGCAAAGACAACTGGATTGCTTTCCATTCTCCTCAGACCAGGCAACGACTTTGGTTTTCACAGTTACTACGATGGTTTCACTGTCTGCCATTTCTGCTACTGCTGATAATAACTGCAGAGAACTTACACTGATACTCTTTGGTATCTGGGGTTAGCTACCATCACCTACCGGGTAAACAGAAGCGCTCTCCTCTTCCTGTTTTGGTTGCACAATGGTTGAAGCACTTCCTCTGTGCTGTAAATTAACCTTTCATTTTCCTGAGACATCGTACCAGGTGGCAGGCAGAATTGCATGCTGAAAGTGAGGCTTATAGGGAACCTGTCTGAACAGTGATGTTGTCACTGCTCTACAGCCATTACATTGTGCAGTCACGCTCACACATGTCCTTATGGGGCAAAAAACCCAACTACAGTTAAGTGCAGGAGAAGTGCACCTGTTTCCTCTTATTAACCCAATAGTTACACATGTTTATCAGAAGAGATTTTGATGACTGTGTTTGTTCCTCCTGACCACAAATAGATTAGTTCATAATGCCAGTCCAGTGATGAGTGATGAGTGACAGAAGAGAAAACAAGGAGTTAAAACTTAGTCTGAAGCTGCATCATCTAAAAATACCAACTCACAGAAACAGGCTACACTTTCCACTTCCCGTTGCAGACTGGCAGAGTGCAGCGGAGTTGGTGTGCGCTTTGCAAGTTTTTTTTCTTCTTCGTGCATTGTGTCACACATGGTGCTGCTGTAGTTTTCACATCGCACAGAGCACAAAGCTGGCTCTTCTTCTTCTCGCTCTGCGGTTGTCAGGTGGAGCTGCTGGGTGCTCGCTGAGCCTCTGCATCTCTCACCGAGCTGGCAGCTGCCGTGTGATGTCTCTGAAGCAGCGGGGTCACCACAGCTCCTCCAAGCTCCTTAAGAGGAGAAAAACTCATTTTGAGTGTCTTGTCCTGGTTCCTGCTGGGTTGATCTCTGGCCACACCACAAGGGAGTTGTAGGCAAAGAACGGTGTCGCTGTGTTGTCAGCTGCAACAAAACAAACTCACCTCAAACAGAAACACGACTAAAAATTAATTGTAGCTCAGGAGACTGGAGCCTTAAAGAGAGCAGCTCCAGCTTGTTCCTTCACTCTGTCCATGTTCAGGTTTCCACTACAAGTGTCATGGAAACATTTATAAAGCATGTCATTCATTTATATCTAGTTGGACAATGAAATAGTTACAATTATTACACAGTAATTTTGCCTGTTTATTGGCTGACTCATTGATTCAGTTGTAAAATATTTGATAAATGCCTCTTTTATGGTCTCTATAACTTTTCTATCACATCTATGGTTCTCCATAAGTAAGCAAGCCTTTGGTGAACTGCAGTCATTTAGCCTATTACATTAACAAAAAGGAAAACTGGCTGAGAGTAATCGCTTGGTGTCACACTGTAGGGACTCAGCTAATAGATGGGAAGATTAAGATGCCTAATTGATGGGTCCCTAGTGCTAAATTGATCCTGCAAACCAAGTGCACTGTTTCAAAGTCTCTCAAGATGTATCCCCAAGACTGGTCGCTCAAGTCATCTACAGTTCTGGTAGCCATCCATTCTTAAAGAATTGTCCTCTTTCTATCCTCCTTACGAACATGCCGACCATCAGGGTCCTCTGTTCAGTACGTGGCAATGTAAGAGAAGCTTCAGAACAGCCACACAGGCCAATTAATGATTAAATTCAAATTGAATATCAGAAATTTTATGCTACCAAGAGACGATGTCTGACCAAAAAGAGACGATCTTAGGACGAAACCATAACATATGACCTTGAGCATTTAAATGTACTTAAAGTATGGACAGTAAGAGCAGCAGAGTTAAACAACTACCCATAGTGTCGTATTATTACTGGTAATTGATGATTAGTGATTGTTATTATTGGTTTTATATTATTAGTGATAATTTGGAAGCAGAATTTCATGCAGCTGGTTGAGTTGGAGCTAATTGTGACTTATATACTTGGTCAGGTTGACAGACAGCAGCACATTTTATATTAAAGCTTTATCTGACAAGTAATAGGAAACTGCAGCTCCGTTCAGGTCTTTATTGTCCTACAAGAGGACAATGGCAGCAAGATGGTGTAAATCATAAACACAATAAGAACAATAAGACAGCTGCAACATTAAAAGTGCTGGTCTGGTACAATACATGCAGCACAGTGTAAAAAGTTAATGGGATAAAGACAAAGAGAACTGTGACAGTGACGAAAAAGTGTTAAGAAGCCATGGTTTATAAGTAAGGCTGTTTATTGCACGAGATAAATAATAACATGAACCTGTTTAAGAAAAGAGGATGGTCCAGATTTGCTGTGATGTGTGTGATGTTCTCACTGAAATCTCTGACAAAGAAGGATGTTCCTCACTGATTTTACAGCTTTTAAGTACACTTCATGGACTGTAAAGAAGTAAAATATCTCCCTTTGAAATCCAGAGGAATGTTGAGTACCAGAAAAGAGTATTTCTCAAGAAAAATGTATGTTTCTCAGAATAGTGCTGCTTCACATCAAAATTTAGATATTCAGATTCAGACAACTTAACTGATCCTACCAGGGGCCTACCAGAGCTTGCTTTGCACACATGATGTAAAATACAGCAACATGTAGACACATAAACAGATGAGTAATAAACAAAATGTATAAAATGAATAAATTAAAAACAAATGAAAACATGTTAAGGAATCCTGTGGAATAAAGAACAGAACAAAAATAAAATCAATTAAAAAAACATTTACAGGAAATTTAAAAGACAAATCACAGAGGGAATGAAGGATTATAGAGATGCAAGCAGGTAAAACATAACGATGCCCTGATGGCAGCAAAGAAAATTCATCTTTAAGAACATGTCCAGAGGAACTTAAGATTCTTGTCACTTTCTGGAGGATTTGTTGGTCGCAAAAACATGTCAAGTCCCTTTGTGTCACTCCTGTGATCTTAGAGCGGATTTAAACAGCGCTGTTTAGACTGTTTGTGACTTTCAGTGTGAGGCTGTGAAACCAGCAGATGAATGAAAAACACAGGTGGCTACACATAAGGTCCCCTAAACATGTAAAGAAAACTCACATGTAAACACATTTAGCCCAGTTGAACTCTAGTGACCTCTGTTGACCTACAGGTTCCCACGGGGACCATATGAGACAGCTCGTAACTCAGGTCATATGAAGTGAGCCTATCAGCCACAGTGATAATGCACGCAGCTGTCGGTGTCATGTACAAACATAAATGCCCTGATTCCTCTGTGCCGAGCTCCATCAGCAGGTTTGCTGGTGTACACCTGCATGTTCCACATACAGGAAGTCTGAAGTTTTCACATCATACACTGCCCAGATTTATATGCTCTGTTTTACAGGTGTGCTTACATGTCATAAACTGAAAGGACAGCAACTCTTTGAAGACTTGGACATGATATGAGACATCTGCAGCGAAATAAATATTTATATATTAATAAATATTTTTAGCTGTCACTGCTTTTGCTTTTTGCAGTTAAAGTTTCCCTTCTCCAACCTGAATCTCTTTCATATCAGGTGAATGATTCTCCTTAACTTCTGTATAATGTGGATGACCTTCAGTATGGTCCTGGACTTACCTTCTTATGTCGTTCAGCTTCTTGTCGGCTCTGTGTTGGGTGGTTTGTGGCTGTTTGATTAAAATACACGAGTGCAATATCACCTGGAATACACAAGTGTAGAATATAACACATGCTTTTGGAAGACTGCAGAACCCCTTTCATTTCTTACCATAGTTAAGAGGTCACAACTCTTGCAGCACTTGTACAGTTCAGGCCACAAGCCAAAATGTGTTGGTCTTTCTATAGAGATGTTCTATATACCACAAGTGTTTTGACCTCTTTAGACTTCTTTCCCTTCTTCATGCACCTTGGCAGTCGGTGAAGTTGTGCCAGAAACCTCCACTGTGTCTTATCTTACTGTTAAAAACCAGCCCTAAGTCTTACAGTAGGTATAACTCATAGTGTCATTGCAATGCTGCAGAAAGGCAGTACTTTGCTTACAAGTGTGGTGCAAACTGGGGACGAAACCACAAGAGGAGTTCTGCTGGTGTTTGTGGCCAACTGCTTCTATAATTTTATGCAGTGACATACTGTAATGTTCCCATAACATGGTGCAAAGTGTATTTGAAAATTTGACATTAACCAGTATGATCTCAGTTCTGTTGCATTCTGACCATGAATAAAAAAGTTTTTTGCAAAGATCTTAAAGGATTTATTTTAGTTTAGTTTATGTTTTTGCATTTTGATCCTTAAATGGTTTAACCACATTGCGTTCTTTTTTTTTGTACCTTGTGGCTCTATTGTTATGAGCACTAATGAGCCAGTGGGCCTTTCCCTGGCTGATAATCCAACCTTACCTTCAGCTGAATGTCTCATGTATAAGTCACACTGTCATTATTATGCTGCAGATAGTCAGTACATTTTATACAAGTGTGGTGCGAACTGGGGGCGACACCACAAGAGGAGCTCTGCAGGTGTGTGTAACCAACTGTTACTATAACCTTCCTGCAGCGACATACTGATATGTTCCCATAACACAAAGTGTAATTAAAGATTTGACATTTTACAGTATGACCTGAGTTCTGTTTAATTTTTGACCATGACTAAAATAAATTCAGCTTATAAGGCCAGAACACAGTGGCAGAGAATCCATTAATCCATCAATCCAGGTGAATTAGGCTCATAAATTGTAGGATGTATGCATTTTTAACCTTACATTAAATCATATTGGGTTCTTTCTAATTCTTTGTACTGACAACCAATGCAGAAATCAAATCTCTTGAAACAAATGTGTGACATTTCATTTTTTCTATTATTATTTATTTACTTTACTGTCATATTTCATGTATGACTGTGCAGAAAATAAACCCAGAGGCGTTAAAACTGGGCTTTAAACTGGTATTTTTCCATAGTGCAGCCTGCCTGATTGAAGCAGTTACAGCTCCAGGCCTCGAGGTGGCAGCATCACAAGTGTTCTAGGGCTCTGACGTCACTGCGTAAGGCGGAAGTAGCTGTGAGCTGTGTAGCTGCAGGATAAAGATGAGCAGTAAGAGGAGTCTGAAAAGTGTTTAAAATACTGAGAAACCTTGAAAACTAACAGTTTTAGTTGAGCAGCCATGAAGACGGTGTTTGTGACTGTCGGCACCACGAGCTTTGACGAGCTCATTGAAACCGTCACGTGTCCAGAGGCCGTGCAGGTGAGTAACGATGGTTATTATTAAGCTAACAGAGGTGTAACGTCACTGCTACACTGCTACTCAGTGATCCAAGAAGTATTAAAATAACTTACGTAAGTAAAAGTACGCACTATGAAATACTTACTTACAAGTAACAGTCCTTCATTAAATATTTTACGTAAGTTAAAGTACTGAATCTTTAGCAACAAAATGTACACATTGTAGATTAAATATTATATTCAAACAAAAGATGATTAGCAAATATAAAAGTGAAGTATGAACACCAGAGTGTACATGACATGTGTTTTGGATTTTTGGGTAGACAACAGGCCTATAAGATGTGTATATACTTAGTTTTTTATAGGCTACTTTTCTTAATTGCTCTGTATGATTTAAAGGAAACTGATAAAAAAATGATCAGTGTTAAAAGGGTAGGTGTAATAAGCTAAGGCGTCAACCTACATCTTTTCAATCTTGTTTTTGTCTTTTTGTTTGTCTCTTGTTTTTAATACTAAAAAAAGCATTAACTCAGTGTTTTTTATTGTCTGTCTACCAGAGTATTTGAGTTTTAAAAGTTGGAAAATGACCAAAATAAACTAAACTAAACTAGGGCTGCAACTAACGATTATTTTCATTGTCGCATAATCTGTCGATTATTTCTTCAATTAGTCGACTAATCATTTTATCGAAAAATGTGTTAAAATGTTGAAGAATGTCGGTCTTTCTCTCCCAAACCAAAATTCTGTCATCTAATGTCTTGTGACGTACTCACACCAAAGGGTTTTAGTTCACCGTCCTGGGAGAGTGTGTAAAGCTGCCAATATTTGAATGGAAGAAGCTGATATAAGAGTATTTTGGGGTACTTTTATAGAACTTTTCTATGAAAAATGACTCAAACCGCTTAGTTGATTACTAAAATAGTCACCAATTATTTTAATAGTCGATTAGTCATCGATTAGTCGACTAATTGTGGCAGCCCTAAACTAAACTAAAGTTTTGTAAAGGTATACAGTAGCACAAGCATGGCCATACTGAAGTATCTAAAATTTGCACTTAAGCACAGCAATTGAGCAAATTTACTAAGTCAAAGGTGCCCAACTGGTCCAACCACGGGGTCCTGATTTCTCCTTCGTCACTGGTTCAAGGTCCACACAGTTTAATGTATTCAGCGTCATACTTGCATTAGCCATGCCCTTGAGCTAGTTTGCTGTCTCTGTTACGTAGCTGTCTGTTATTCACTAACTCTACAGCAGGAAATCGCACTTTAAAATAAAAGATCTGTGCCAGAAATTCACTCTACTTCAAAATAAAGGGTGGTTGTTGTTGTTGTTTTTTATAAACTTGACACATTTGTGAGTCACTTGAGGTCCATTCAGAATGGGACCGCGACCCACCAGTTGGGAACCACTGTACTAAGTTACTTTCCACCAATGTGTAAACTATGAACTTTATTTTGAGTACAGTCAGTGTAGGAAATGAGCACCAGCCACCAGCCAGATGCTGTAAAATGGCTGCTAGATTTGCCTCACTCACCACTCAGAAACAGTGGTAACCTAATTTCCATCCCTGGTGCAGTATGTAGGAAATTCATAACTATCAAATTAGAAGTACCCTTTTCACAGCAGATCTTATGTCATAGCACTTCCAACATCATAGGTGTAGATTTCAGCGGGGACGCAGGGGATGCATCTCCCCCTAATTAAACATGAAAGTAGCAGAGGACTTTTATTTTGATAAATTAAAGACATTAACATAGAAGAGACACAGACTGATGCATAAATACTCATCAGAATGCAGGAAATAAATGTTTGATGCTCAAAAATGTGTGGCAGAACACTCCCAAACCCCCTTGTTTCATAGATATCCATCCCATTGTTGAAATGAAATCTACGCCCTTGTGTCACATTAATAGTAGTTTGGCTTAGTTCTGGAACTGCAGCGCCTGAATGTAGCTTGGCCAGTTGTAATGTTATTAATAACAACAGCCACAAAATAAGAAACATGAATCCAAAATTGTGATGCTGCCATGCCATTGGGTCAGGTGCACCACTCCCTTCCCCTGGCTTATCACCCTTCAGGTGGGCAACAGAAGGTTTTGTTTATCTAGGTATTTTTGTAACTCCTCTGCTGCAAAGGATGTTTAAAGCAAATTTTCAGCCTCTTTTTAAACGCATCCACGATGACCTAGAGAGGTGGTCTTCCTTACCACTCTCGATGCTGAGAAGAATCTCTTTGATTAAGATGAATATTTTACCTCGACTGCTCTACAAATTTCAAATGATCCTTGTCCTTCTAAATAATAATACTATCAAGACGGTGAATGGTTGGTTTAGGTCATTTATATGGAACTGCAAAAGACCACGACTTAAATTAGCCAAATTGCAATGGCCATTAGGTCAGGGAGGATTGGCAATTCCCAACATTAGACTGTATCAAGTGGCTTCTCAATTTCGATATATAGTAGATTGGGTACGGAATGATCCAGACTCTGTTTGGCTTGATATTGAAGCATACAACTTAGGTAAACCGTTACAATTAGCTAGTCTCCCATTTATCCTGAATCGGAATAAACTAGAGATTGCAGATGGTAATTTTATTGTGAAATCCACACTAAAGGCTTGGGACATGATTAAGAAATGGGAAAAAAGAACTGATGTTTTATCTCCAATTCCTCCAATACAAAGAAATACAGATTTTCTCCCAGGGATGACAGATAATGGGTTTGCACTGTGGGAAAGTGCTGGTATCACAACTTTGAAAGACTTATTTGAAGGGGACAGAATGATGTCATTTGACCAATTAAGACTGAAATACAAACTATCACACACATTTTTTTTAGATTCCTACAAGTCAGGAGCTTTATACAGAATCCAATTCAGCATAAATTTACTCTGGAAATGTCACCAACTGAACAACTACTGTACAAAATACATAGCAATAAGGCTATAGTAAGACGATGCTATGAGGCCTTTTATAAGTCCAATAAGGCTAACATTACAATTATGCAAACATGGGCTCAGGACCTTGGGGTGATAATAGACGAAGCTATGGAGGCGGACATATGGGAGCATGCTAACAACATATCCATATGTAATAGAGCAAAGGAATCACAATTTAAATTACTGCATTGCCTTCGGATATCACCTGAACTCAGACATAAGATGGACCCAAAGAAATCAGCTCTGTGTATGAAGTGTAATAAGGAAGTTGGTAGCTTTATGCATACTGTGTGGACCTGTGTGCATATCCAGGATTTCTGGGTAGAAGTGGCTTTGAAATTAGATTTGGTTTTTAATAAGGAGTTGGACCTGGACCCAGTATATTTGTTGTTGGGATTACCACACCCACGAATAAAAGGATCTCATTGTCAGAAACTGTGGAATGTTTTAACATATGCTGCACGTAAAACTATATTGCTGAAATGGATTTCAAATAAGCCACCTACAGTTTTAGATTGGCATAAGGTAATATTTGACCTTTTACCCATGGAATATCTGACATACTGGTCCAGAGGGAAAATTGGTTTATTTTACCATATATGGACCCCATTTCTCGATTATGTAGGACCTAGAATGTCTAACATATTTTGGAAGGTGCTTCCCAGACCAGGGAATAGCAGTTGAATGTTAAAGGAGAGGTGTTGCTGTCTGTTTTACTATTTTTATTTGTTAGTTTATTTTCTATATCATTTTTTAATTATTGTAATGTATACTTATTTCTCCATTTTATATTATTAATTTTTGTCGTTACTATTGCCATATGATATTCTACCATGCTTGTGACTGACTGACTGCTGTGCTGAATGTTCAACTTTGGAGGGGGGGGCGGGGGGAGGGGGTTTTCTCGAAGGGGCGGATAAATGTAAAAAAAAAAAATGTGTTTGTGTATATGAATAAGATGTGACACATAATTAATAATAAAGATATTCTTTAAAAAAAAAATGCGATGCTGCCAGGTGTCAGGTTTTGAAGCTCATTCTTAGGAAATTGAGAATCAATTCAGACCTGCTCTTTCTCATGGTTAGTGGGGGAACTTCAGAAAAGAAATCACCTGTTCAAGACTTAACAATGGATCCAAAATGTGAAATACATTTTCTAGTAACAGCAGAAACATACATTTGTGAATTTGTCAACTTGTGACCAGTGTTATAGTAACTTTTTTTTTTTCTCTTCACAGGCTTTAAAGGCTCGTGGCTATGAGCGTTTTGTTCTTCAGGTTGGAAGAGGATCTCTTCTTCCAGATGCCGACAGCTGTCCACACGTCAGACTGGAGGCTTATCGATTCAAAGACTCTATAGCTGAAGACATGAAGCAGGCTGACCTTGTCATCAGCCATGCAGGTGAGTTAAATATCGAAAACCTCCTGCTGCCTGACCACTCGCTCCCTCCGTTAATCCTGGTCACTTTTTAAATCAACATTCTTCTTATTCCAACAAATCCTCCTAAAGCTGTTTCATAAACCAAACTACTGTTTGTTTTTTGTTGTTTTTTAAAAGCACATTTAAAGTTATTAAAATGTCAGCCAGATCAGATAGTTTTCATTTCCTGTGCAGAGGACATCAATGACTCTGCGGAATTCAAAGCAAAAACAAATATAGGTATGACCGCACTGTGCAAACATTGAACAGAAAACTGATGGTTGATACTGCAGAGTGTCGGCAGCGGACATATACGACATGAGGACATCGAGCAAACTACTTGAAACAGGATGATGCTGAGCAAATATTGAATATTGGATAAGATTGTGGTCGGTGCCTGTTTGCATTTGGGCAACTGTGCTGCTTCGCTCCTTTTTTTCTCAATTCCCAACAACTGTATTTGTTTGTTTATTAGGTAAGATCTTACCCAAAGAGAAGACTAGTGTGTACTAAAGGATCATAATTTTGTTTTTGCAATTTGATCCAGTTTATCACTAATTTGTTCACCACACATTATCGCTGCCAACCATTTTCAAAAGCATATTAAAGTTTTCACAACATGCTTGTGTCACACTGTCCCTGTTCATGTGTGCTATCGCTTGTCATTGTGATGTTGAGCGATAATATTACTACCAGTCTGTGATGGCTGGGAGAGAGTTGCTGCCCCAAGCAAAGGAGTTCAAGTATCTCAGGGTCTTGATCAGATGGATAGGTGGTTTGGTGTTGTATCAGGAGTGATGTGGGTGTTGCACAGGAAAGTCGTGGTGAAGAATGGGCTGAGCTGAAAGGCAGAGCTCTTGGTTTACTGGTCCATCTACTTTCTGACCCTCACCTATGATCATGAGCTGTGGGTAGTGACCGAAAGAATGAGACGGTGGAAACAAGCAGCTGAAATTAGTTTCCTCCGTGGGGTGGCTGGGCTCAGCCTTGGAGGTAGGGTAAGGAGCTCAGACATCTGGAGGGAGCTCGGAGTAGAACCGCTGCTCCTTCATGTTGAAAGGGGCCAGTTGAGGAGGGTGGGTATCTGATTAGTATGCCTCCAGTGAGAGGTGGTCAGGGCATGTCCAACTGTTTGGAAGCCTCGGGGCAGACCCAGAACACACTGGAGGGATTACATATCCCATCTGGCCTGGGAATGCCTTGGGATCCTTCAGGAGGAGCTGGAAAACATTCCTGGGGAGAGGGATGTCTGGAGTGCATTGCTCAGCCTGCTGCCCCTACGACCTGGCCTTGGATAAGCGGATGAAGATGGATGGATGGATGGATGGATGGATAGATGGATAAACTATTACTAACAAAAAAATGATGGTAATACTAATAAAAATGTTTTGTTTTGTCTCCACCATGTTCAGTACTTCTATATACAGACACTTCCGGTTCCCAAGCGAAGTCTCCTATGGACTGAGCTACTGCTGTAAATGAACCAACAGTTGGACAAACACAGACTGACTCTGAACATCAGTAATGAACTTGATCTTGTTTTTGTCCTCAGGAGCAGGAAGTTGTTTGGAGGCGCTCGGAGCAGGAAAGCCTCTGCTGGTCGTTGTCAATGACAAGCTGATGAACAACCACCAACTGGAGATGGCCAAACAGCTGCACATGGACTCCCACCTGTTGTACTGCACATGCAGGTATGACTTTCTCACATGCACAGTTTGTATATATGACGTTATGTAGCAAATCTAAAGTAACAAGCCCTTTTGTTTTTTAACTAAATCTTTCAGCACCCTGACAGAAACACTGAGGACGATGGACCTCTCTGTCCTTCAGCCCTTCTTACCCGGACAGCCAAAGATGTTTGCAAACTTTTTAGACAAAGCTCTGGGTGTTAAGTAAAATATTGCTATTTATCTGTTTGATGACTTTAAGAATATCATGCTGTAGTTTATCACACTCAGTGTTTTCTATTTTTGTATGCCATAATATAATAATATATGAGTGATTCCAAATCCTAATGTGTGCTGTGAGTTATTTGTGTTTATTCAAAGATTTTATGAAAGTGAAAGTAAAACAAAACATTACCAGGTGTTTCCGTCAAATAATAGATATCCACTGCGGTTTGAGATGGAACAAAGGCTGCATCGCCTCAGTGCTCATCCTGATCAGACAGCAGTGTAAACAACTGTGCTGTTGATGAGTTTTATAAGTTATCTCACTTGTAACTCATTAATTTTCATGTAATCAAGTTGAAGTGATGACCTCAACAGACAATTCGATTGTACTTGCTGATTTGGAAATCTAGAGAGACAGTATGGAAAAGCTTATGCTTCATGCTAACTCCTAGTTTTAGACAAAACAATATATGGCATCCATTTTATGAAGATGTGACGTTTAGTCCTCATGGCATCAGTGGGAAGCAGCAACAATCACAGAGAGTAGCCCTTAAATATTTTGTTAAAAGAAATTTTAATAATTCCATTACAGGGTGTCTGCAGGTCAATTTTATAAATATTAGGCCTTAAAAGTCATTAAATGATCATTTTATTTACCATATATCTGTCGTTTACAGGGTTGGAAGTTAGCACCAGCCGCCTAACTGCTTGATTTGCTTCACTTACCAGCCAAAAAAACAATAGTAATCTATCAGGTGGCAGGTGGACATAAAAATTAATTTCAAACCCTGATTGTTTAATGTCTTTTTGCCAAAAAATGTCAAGCTCTTCTGCGTCAAAGTCAACAGTTCTGATGTTACAAATCTTTAAACAAGAGATTAAACTCACTCTAATAACCATATTCCAACATAAAATCTACCTCTTAATGGGTCTACAACTTTGCTTCATACTTACATGCAGTGCTTGAACAAGAAGATGATTTGTCCAAAATATTGTCTGAAATTCAGTTTAAAATTGTCTTAAAAAGCGTTACATTTAAGTTTCTTAGTAGTTTGTCCAGACAGTATACTTCACTTCTCATTGGTGTTTTTGTTTTGTTGTCTTTGTTTTTTAAATGTGTATTTTTTTTGGCTTGTACGTGGCCTGTTTGACTTATCTACAGTCTGCTATGTTTTTATATGTCTGGAGAAGACTCGTCAGTGATTCCTCTCAAGACAGACATCTGGACTCAGACCAAACTCTGCCTTTAGGTCTGTTTGTGATTCTGCGTTGCTCAAACTCTTTTGTTTCCCTCTATGTTTGTGTAATCTCAGCACTACAGTCGGGTCTTTATTTATAGACCAAGAGGCTGTAGCCAAGCAGATGCTGGAGGAAACAAACAAAACATAAAAATGTAAATTGTATACTGAATATTCACTCATGGGGTCTTTCATCAAATAAATATTTCGCATCACTTCCTTCTAATTTCCACTTGTATTAAAAGGCAGAGAAAAGCCAGTTTTCTGCTTCACAAAGACACTGAGGATATTTGCTGCATTACAGAGAAACAAGTTGTACCAGTTCTTGCCACAAGGGTGAGATGATGTTTAAAAACTGTGACCTTGCGGGTTGATTATCATTTGTCCTCCCAGCACGTACACTCCAACTTCTCCTGCTCCAAACTGGCAGGAACAGATGCAGACATTAAACTCTGAGTCATTTCTGTGGCAACGTTTGTGATGTAGTGTCAGGTCATGTTGGTTATGATGTTAATGCAGAGTTCCTCTTAATATGCTATGACTGTGCAACTATGTGGACTCAGGGCATTTCTGTAGAGGGGCTCAATGCTCAGTCAAATTTCCCTGGATAAACAATGGTTTGAATAAATGACCACCTTGATCTGTAACTGCTTCATTGATCAGTGTGTGAGAAGCTGTCTGCATACTGTGTGCACACCAACAGCCTGGAAACTGACATTTAAATACAACTCTGGGCTTTTTCTGTTATGACTTTTAAGAGACAGGTCATTTGTTCAGCCGGTGCGGAGTCACCACTTTTGTGCAATTAAGAGACTTACAGTACAATTTCAGGAAACGTGTTGATGTTGGTCAAATGCAGCTGATTCATCATTTGTCCGGGGTATAGTTTCTTCACCAGGAAAGACTTTGTTGAACAGGAAATGATGGGTGAGAGGCAGCACGTAGGCTTGTTTGGCTGCTCAACCTCTCAACAGTGTTTAGAGTCGAAGCAGGAAACATTTTTGTCCACTTTTCGGCTACAGAGGCAGAACATTTCTGCAGCAATGTTTATTAAATTCACCAACCACATGTGTTTACCTCATAAAAACCATCTGAACAGGTTAACAGCCTGGTTTACCAGAATTTAGCTCTGATACTCTAGGTGTTAATTTCCTAAATCCCCTGAGGTGTAGCTGGCATTTCAGGGAGCTTTAAAGAAAACATTGTCTTACTGTACATCAGTGTGGTGCAGGAGGAATACACAAGAACAGTGGCACACTTCCTTGTTAGGAAAGTCCCTCCTGTAGGAGAAGTTCTGTGGAAACTGTGCAATAACTGAGGCATAGCAGCTCTCTGATGCTGTGGTTACACCAGACAGCTGTTCTATCACATCAAGCTGATAAAGGAAATGGTAACTTTAAACAGCAGAAAAAAAGAGAGTAGGGGGCCAAACCACACAACACAGCTTGGTTTTAATAGATGCAGGGCACTTAAGAAATACCCTACTGACGTCATTAAGTGCTGCTTCTGAAAGGTTGGCATTATAATTAGTTTGGCAGACTTATAACAACTATATTGATCCAGCCACTTCACTAGGGACGCAAGTTACACTGAGTTTATCTGTACTTTCTGACATTCACAGCCAGTTTTTCAGACAAATATTAAGCCTGGTCTTAGACTGGGTGTTTTTGGTCAATATCTCAACTTAATATTGTAGATCTGCAACTATTTTGATTAACTGTTTAATTCCTAAAATGGCAAACACTGTTCCTTCAGCTCCAAAAAGATTTTTTAAACCTTTATTTGTACAGGAAAGGAATTAAAAGTAACATTGTGTGTTACAGTTAAAACTAGCCTGACTTCAGCAGGTTCCTTTATTACAATACAAAATAAAATACAAAGGAAAAACAGAAACAATCAGCTAGTAGGGGACTTAAATGGAGTGAGCAAAATGAGATATAATATTTAAATCAGTGGTTGCAGGTATGTCCTTCCATCAGATAGTGGTTATATGCGTGTTTGAAATGTGTAATAAAAGTTATTGCTCTAATGTAGTGTGGGATCTCATCCCAGATTTTAGCACAAGTGTGGCAAAATGATCACTGACCATGACTTTTTGTAAGGCAGTACAGGAATAAGTGCATGTGAGATTGATCTAGTGATGTGTTTGTCTTGTGTTGTGACTTGGAAGTAGAGCAGTAAGCGTAGGATTGGAGTTGCTGTTTAGGATCTGAAAGTAAAATATAATGGCTGGATTGTTTGTGTGTGATTTTGAAAAGTCAGGGCTTTTGAGTGTGAGATTGCGGTGCAGTGATGAGTCCAAAGGGGGAAGTTACCATGGATTTCAGTAACATGGAATATCTTTTGGTTTTGGACTGTGGGTTGGTTAAAAGACGAGCTTTGAAGATGTCACCTTGACTTTCAGGGTGCTTTTGATAAAAAAAAACACAGTCATCAGTCATTAGAATCCAAAAACAGAAAACTCTTGATGAATTTAATTTAAGAGAGGTACAAACTCTCACACAACTGGTGTATTATCATCAAAGTCTCATTTATCCAGTCATATGCTCAGTTCTTCTCAAACAGACAGCCCTTTTGATGGGGAACTGAACTGAAAGTGAATCTTATCTATGCTCTTTTCAAAGCCAGGCTCCTTTGACAAATACAGTATTTTACCTGAACATGGGAGTTACTGTTCCATCACTGCCTTGCTCAATTAGTTTGTGTGACTTTGGTGTTTTAAAGAGTTAGTTCAAACTCACCATGTCACACAATAACACAACCAAACTAACTGACTGAGGCAGTTTTAGGCCAGCAGCTCCCGTGTTCAACAAGGTAAAATAAATTACTGGTTTTGTTAATTGAGTCTGGCTTTGAAGAGAGCATCGATGAGTATCACTTTCACTTTAGTTCCCCAAAGGACCTAAACTGAAAGTTCAGTACTTCCCCATTTTTAGGAAGTGCTGATCATCCAACTGGATAAATGAGACTTGGATAATAGTGCAGGAGCTGTGTGAGCGTTTGTTAACAGATGTTTTCATAGTTTTGCCTTTGTTGATCGCAGGCCCCAGTGACTTCAATTAGTCAAGAATTTTCTGTGTTTTTTTATTCTTTGTTTACCAGTGGCATCATGAAAAACACTCCAAAAATTCAGTGTAACACAGGGTGAATAATTGATATACAAATGGTCATTTGGTGGGGTAGAGGTATGCCTTTGATCTTTATCTGAGAAACTCCCTTATTGCAGATATTCAAAACGAGGTCACAACCTTTTTGGTATTTTTCCCCTTGAATCCATTAAAACTGTGGCTAACTGGTTTGGACTGGTTCTGCCTGCCACTTCAGTATGATTCACATGATGTTTGTGCAAACTGCATGTTAATCTAATAGAGATGGGCAGTGGAGTTTAGTGTGACTTGTTTTCCCAACCAGAGCTTCTCTGTCAGCTTTATTTTACTCAAACTTGTACTGTTTAACATGTTAGGATAGTTGCTAATGCACAAGGCCTCAGCACTCATGGATCATTTTAGACATTAGATCTGGTTTAATAATAATTTTATCAGTGTGAGACTGATCAAAATTTTAATCTGAATTTTAACCACATTTGTTTCATTTTAACTTTCACAAAACAGAGGTTACCACAGAACGAACAAAACCTCAAAAAGGGAAAAAGTTCCATGAAGCAATGCTAATTTCTGAGAATGAATAGCTGGTAACACTGGAAGTGGTATTTATGTATGATGTTGCAAAGATATTTTATGTCATGCTCAACATGTGATCTGATTATTTGAAGCAACAAGTTCGCGAGACGGTACAAAAACACAGAAACTAACTGATCTGAAAGTCATGATTCTCAGACAGAAAAACAACCTGATTTGAATCAATTCAATTCCAAGGTGTCTTATAAAGAACAAACGTCCTATTCATTTAGAGAGGACTGAATAAGTCCATACAAGAGTAACAAATGGGTCACAGCAGAGGGTCAATCAAACAGGCCTGAATGCAGTGGTCAGTTGTGGACATCTCATGTAATCAGTGTTCAGTTTACACCAGGATAAAAGCATGAACGATGCCTGTTGTCTTTGCCTTTGAGATGTTTAAAAGACCCAGAGGTATTGCATGGGGTTGAGGTAAGATCATCTGTGCAAACCAAACATAGAAAACCATATCTTTATGGCTTTGCATACAGAGGCACTGTCATGTTGAAACAGGAAAGGGCCTTCCCCAAACTTCTGACTGATCATTGTGCGCTCTAGCATTAAATGAGAACTAACCTGAAGGTCAGATTACTTCTCACTTTACCACTCAGCCCATGAAAGGGAAATGTTTGTTATGTATTGCTGAAGGAGCTTTAGCAAGTCTCTGAAAAAATCTCAGCATTGCATCATGGGGAGTGAAGGATCCAGTGTTTCTACTCTGAATCCTCTGCTGTATCAATTTTGTGAACAAGTGCTCTTAAAGATTTCACTTAAAGGTCCCATATTGTAAAAAGTCAAATTTCCGTGTCTTTTTTTAATATAAAACACTGTGAAGGTAACAAAAATGTTCAGTCCACAGAGAACTGCACACAGTCTGAAGAAGAAGAAGAAGATTTACTTATCGAACTTCAAGGGGAAATTGCATTTTTTTTCACCCTGTTATCATATACACGAAAGCCCAAAGTACACACACATGCACAAACAGGACCTATACATGCATTATATGGAGAGATATCAGAGTGAGGGGGCTCCCTTGGACAGGCCTCCTGAACAGTTGGGGATTCAGTGCCCAGGAGGTAAACTGGCACCTCTCCAGCTACCAGTCCACGCTCAGTACTCGGTCCAAACAGGGACTTGGGCTGGTGACCCTCCGGTTCTTAAGCTAAGTCCCTACAGACTGAGCTACTGCCGCCCCTGTATTTAGAAACTGTGACAACAACAATGGCATTAACGTCTCAATAACAATCATTTACTGTCCCTGTTACATGGCAGCTGATCTTGTCCTCTGCCCAGAGAGTAAGGAGCTCCTGAATCTCATTGTTTTCCCAATTTGCAGACATTTACAGCTGCTGTTCTTCTTCTTCGTTGAGTTAGCTGCTAACTGCTAACAGCTACTCTTTAAATCTCCCATGCATAACACTTCGTCAAAACGTCAAACCCATGCCGCTCATGATCTCGTAGGTTGTCCAGTTTATACAGACATGGCTATGACTATGGCCTGTGGTGGCTAAAAGGTGAGACCACTCTGTCCCCCACTCCACAATCGTACCTTATATAGGCTACAGAACAGCGAGGCAGCATAACAATGTGATAATCACGTTCTGAACAGGCAGTATAAAAGGGGCAACTGAGATTGCAGATGTGTAAGACCCAGATATGAGAGCAGACTTGGCTTTTTTTAGGGGGTGGGCTCAAAGAGACAGGCACTAAAATGGAGTGTTTCAGACAGACGGGTATATTCAGACAGACTGTGTGAGAAAACAAATGCGTTATTCTGAACATTAAGTCATGTAAACGTGTTCTAGTAGAGACCAAAACTACAAGTATGAAACTAGAAAATAGTCTAATATGGGACCTTTAATTGGAAATATGGGGCATCACCCACCCACACCCTGGAAAACAGTCCAAGAAAAAACATACACAACTTTGACCAAGTCACTTATCATTATATCTCTGCACCTACAAACCTGTGTTTGTCCCCCAGATTATTTTTAGTCCAGTTTGCAGATTTCAAGAACTGCTTTGTGACATTGTGTTAAGGTTGTCTGACACATTTACTTTATTCCAGTGTACATTGTTCCTAAAACAGCCCAGCTATCATTATACAGGCTGTACACAACATCATAATGCTGCCTCTTGACAACAGTCCCATCCCATGAATTGATATAAAGTTGTTAGTCTGACCCTGTGAGTGTCTTCTGGTCTGTTTTCTCCTCTCTGCGCTGTTGTTTGCAGATGTTCATTAGCATTTAGATATTACCCTCTGTGAGCCAGCCCCGCCTCCTGCGCTTTGATTGGGCACACTGTTACTGGAGCTGTCAGCTCGGCTCCGGGAAGGTTTCCTCTGCTCTCCCAGCAGCACAGTCTTCAGCCACAGACCCACCGACCGACTGCAGCTAGCGGCAGGCTCGTCTTGCCTTTTGTTAGCTAGCTTGTGGAGCGCACCAAGAAAAAGACAGAGCCGCATCCATGCAGTAGCACACTTTTTTTGTAAAATGATCATCTGTACGAGTAAAATGGAGTACCCCCTGAGAACCCAGTGTCAGCGAGTCCACAAACAGGTAGGTTAAAGCTGACGAGAGACGAAGCTGTTGAAAAGAAGTTAAGTTAGTTTTGACACAATTTAAGCTAACGGCTAACTGGGTAGCCCGAGTAACGTTCATTCATTTGCTGAATGGATTATGTTGTATCAAAGAAAAAAATATATATCTAAACTACCTCTATTAGTGCTGTCTTTTGTAGCTTTAAACGACACATATTGGCAGCTAAGTTCGAGAAAATAAAGATTAATTTCATAGTTTATAATATCTGTAAACTTTAAAACTTCGAGTAACGTTACAGTGGCTGTGAGTTAGCTAGCGAAAATAGCAGTACCAAACTTCTCATCTAACGTTTGCTAGCTAGCTAACGGTATATCGAGTAGAAATGCTGGAATTAAATCACAACTTGAAAAGCAAATAAAATAAGTTTTATATTATTTTATGATTCAGTCCCGGGTTATGAACTGCCACCTTTCATGATAACCGAAAAACATTTTGTAGTTCCCACCTCCAGCCGTTAAAATGTCACGTTAAAGATCGCAATCTCGTCAACGGTTAAAAAGCTAACGTTAAATGTACGTTTAATGTAATGTGAATTAGCCGTTTGCTGTCATATCTGCGTTTGTACAGTCACTGTGATGTTAAGCCTTACAGACAATGTACCGAAGACTCTTCCTTTGTTCCAGTGATGATTAAGTACTTTATTTTATATATGTGGTTATTAACTTTCACACTGGTTTAGTTAGATACTAAGGTTTAAATGCAGTAACTGTTGGGAGCGTTGCAGCATGAGGAGAAATCTGTAGGTGACGATGACATCATCTGAGGATTTGGGAGAAAAGTGTCTGTCAGTTAGGTGGCTGTGAAGTAATGCGGTGCCATTTATTCACCATAAATATAATATAAGGGTTACTCGAAAGGACACAGCGGGGTGAATGCTTTGAATGCATGAGGACAGATGAGGATCGTTAAGTCTTTTCTCGCTCGCAGTCGCCTCTAAATGTTGGCGACTTGTATTGTGCTGTTTTTTGCTGGCTGAACTGGACTGCCAATCAAAGTTGTTTTTCTCCTCTGTCGCTGTTTTTCCATTGTGCAACAGAAGGGGGGCGCTGTCTCAAGTGCAGTCCAGAAAGACATGTTTGCTGCAGATTAGAGTCCAGAAATGGAGCAAAACAGGGAGGAATGTGAGCAACGAGGGATTCAAAGCCCTTTACTCTGGTTTCAAGTTCAAATTTGGGTTACATTTCGGGATCTCTTTCACTGTTTTGCTGCTCATGTTCATTATCATTCAGCTGGCATATTTTTTTTGCATATGCCATTTGACTACCTAATTGAATATGGGGACACACAATCAGTATTTGCATTAAGACATTTTGCAAAGCAGAATAACCCTGTGAGTTTTAAAGCACTTGCACCTCAAAGCAGCCTGTTAAAAAAAACAAGTATTTGGCAGGCATCTGAGCACCTTCCTTTGATATGATAACCTGCTGCCCTAGCTTGTTTGTGAATGAGACTAGTAATGAATTACCTTGTTATCAGTAGAAGTCTTTTGTAAATGCGTCTCCCTATTGCTCTACCTGCCTGCTGTGTTTTCTGACAGGTCCAATCACTCATCTGCTTTATGTGGGCTCGGCTCTCTTTTTTTTTTCATCCTGCATGCAGCACCGTGTTTTGTTTGTCTTGGTCGTGTTGTATGTGGTGTCCTATCCAGCAGCTCCTTTCCCTCCCCTCTTCTCCTCCCCTCTCCAAACATCTTTGGGCTGCAGCTGGTTTGTTTTGCGCTACTCCCTGAGTTCAGGTTGCAGAGCCAAAATCGGCCCCGGCTGCTTGTGTTTCCGGTGATTTTTTTTTTTTGGGGGGGGGGGGGGGTATTGCCATCAGGACGCCGGCACATGATAAGGATGGACCCCCTCCAGGCTCAATTGGAATGCAGATTGAATGTCCTTCTCCTGTATCTGCAGCAGCCCCCCTCCTGCAGCCCTCCAACACCACACACACACATACAGACACTACATGCACACATGCACGTCTCATCTCAAGCTGACACATTTACCCTTGACAGACTGCTGGCATCATTTTCCCACTTCTTTGTGTGTCATGTTAGTCCTTCATATTCCTGCCCGTACAGTGCTGCTGTTTTGTTTGTCAGCCTGCTATCAAAGCCTGTCTTTGTCTCCATTTACCTTTCCTCCCCTCAGTGACGTCACCCCTGTTTTTCATTTCATCCCTGCCTCTTGCTCCTCTCTGATCAATAAACAAATGACCTCTCCTGTGTTGGGAAGGGAAGTTTTTGTTTTCTGTGAATGCCAAACGATCTGCTCCTGTGAATATTTGCCCACAACACGCCCTCTTTGAGTTGTTTATGACTTCTATCTTTTTCAGCCAGGCCACAAGTTTAAATTCATCTTGTGATTTGAATACAGCAGTGCTCTAATATCAACATTGCCATCTCGCTTCTGTCAACCCCCAAGCTAGTTTTTGAACAGGGAAAAAAATGGCTTTGTTTCAAAAACAGTAGCTGCTGGGTGTACTGTAAGCAGAATTAATAGGTTTGTGTGCACAGAGCCCTAATGTGCTTTTCTATCAGACTGTTTGCATCTATGTGAAACCAAAATACGCTTTGTAATACCATACACAGTCTCCCAAATGATGATGTGTGTCTTTTTGCTTTATATATCCACCCACACACGCTTGTTAACAGCTTTTTCTCCCTTTTTATGCGGGTGTGTTTTTCATGTGGGTGGACAATAAGGAGCGTATCGCCGTATCAAAAGTACTGCTGTGTGCAGCATTTGTGGCTTGTTTTCAGGCAATAAAGATGAAGCAGTGTGGACGGGTGTCTGGACACAGCTTTGACAAAGATGTCTGTCTAAACCTTCCCCTAGTGTATATTAATCACACAAGTATTGATTAGAAAGTGTTTGTTTTAATGATGTGGGATGGATCACTTATGAAGGGAAATACTGAAATATTAATTACTTGTTCAGTCTGGCAAGGAAAAAGATGTCAATCAAGATGGACTTGACCTTTTTTTTATGTAGTTTCATAATCCGGATTTTTTGTAAAGTTTACACTAAACACCATCATAAATTTACTGTATGTTGTCTTGAGCTACAGAGTTAGCTGAGTTTTAATTTTGCTTTGATGTTAAGGTGTCAGCAGACTCCGTTAAAGCTGTAGGCTGTGTTATTTCCTGATGTGCGTCTGCTCACGTCAACTGTAGTTCCTGTTTCAATTTGACTCTTTCAGTCGTATTTGTCCAGACATGTTTATGAAATTTCACAGAATGGCAATTTCCTTTTTGATTGTGTGATACCAGTGAGGACAGATCCCATCTCCTCGGTCTGTGCAAGAGTAAGTGTTGTCACTTATTTTACTGTTATTTTGACAGTGGGCTAAGAGTAAACAGATGACAGAACCAGCCAGTTAAATGGTCCTTGTCATGTAGAGATTTGAGGTATGTTCTGCTTCCTCTCTTGTCATTCCTTCTGGTTTCTACCGTTTTTTTCCCCCCGTTAAAGGTTTTTTTTGAGGGAGTTTTTCCTCATCTGCTGTGAAGGTCCTAAGGACAGAGGGATGTCATATGCTGTAAAGCCCTGTGAGGCAAATTGTGATTTGTGATATTGGGCTTTATAAATAAAATTGATTGATTGATTGTACTGGTTGTATTTTGGTGAGATTGGGTTCATTACCCGGCTGTGCTGCCTAGTAAAGCCTAATTTGGAGTCAGGGATTGTGTCCTGTGTGGGCGCAGGGTTCCCTGTATGATACAGAAGTCTGTCATTTCAGCTTTAACTGTTCTAACAACAACAGTAACCTTTTCCTGAATCAACCCTCTCATAAAAATTTCGTTTTCCTTCACACTCTGACCAAGGATGTAAAGCACAGCCCCCGCTGGAGCAAGTAAAAGCCAAACGCCTATGTTGTGCCCACACTCATTGCGTCAACTGGTCGCTCATGATGTCCCACTTTGATAAGGTTTTGTTATATCAGTGGGATCTTGGAGGGTGTTTTTCATAACCAACTGGCATGTGTCCAATTTGGATTGTTTCCATACAGTGTTGGCATTTGGGAAGTCTGGTACAGTGAATTTGAATTTGTTGTTTTGGATTCAGACTGCTTCTGTGTGGTTACATCTTGATTCTGTAAAACACAGAAAAGGCATGCTAATAGTAGAACCATACATCAGCTATACCATGTAAGTAGTTTTCCCTAAAGACCACATTTTAAAACTGTAAAAATAGTATGTGCTTTAGGGCTAGGAAATACGTTGATGTTATATAATACATAATATTGTAAGTGTTGTCATTTCCTGGTTTTAAAGGCTGTAATACAGTAAAGTGATGTAACTTTATGAAGTTACCAGACTGTCTTAGCTGTTCTGTTATTTGTCTTTGCCCACTTAGTCATCATATTCCCTTGTGATTTATTTATTTTTATTTTTATTTTTTAAATCTTACTGTGTAAATATTTTGTGAAAGGAACAATAATCAACCTTACAATGTGGTCACCATATTGATATGGAGGTATTTGATCAAACAATATTTAGATTTTCTCCCTATCACCCAGCCCCAATTTGCATTGTGTACATCTTGGTCACTATTCTTCAGTAACTAAATTTGCATTACTGTTAACTTTAAATTTTAACAGTATTAGTAAAATAAAAACTCTCAGGTACAGATACTGGTTTCAAAAACAAGTATCAGTCGGGCTGTAGGAAGTACACATTGACCACAATTTCTTACTCATCTTATTCCAGGAAAGTTGCAAGATAATATTGCATTTGTAGCTTATTCTATGGTAACAGAATGGAGTGAATAAACTAAGTAGTCTTCTTACACAAGTCCTTGAAAGGTCAAACTCAAGGCATGTTTTCTGCACGGTGTAGACCTTGGAGATACCTTTTCCTTTCAATAACCAAGCCAGTGAGTGCTTGATGGAGCAGTAACGTAGATTCTGTCCCTCGGCATACTGATCAGTAGCTCTTGCGTTTGCAGAGAGATACTTGTGTGAATGTGTTCTTGTCAAGAGGTCTTTCATTGGCATGCACCTGTGCGCTCTACGGACCCTCCGGCCTATTTCCCATGATCGTTGACAGACAGGAGTGGGTCAGGGTCTGTGTCCGAGCTTGTTTCATTTAGTGCCAGTCTGCCTTGTTCACTTACACTGTCCTCCCATTCCTTTTAGATCTTTGTATGTATTGCTTTATATAAACTATGAGATTAGGGAAGTACATTATAATGAGATTGATTTGATTAATGTATAGTATGTCAGCAGTATGCAGTGTGTCTTTTAAGGTCTGAGCGCATGTAGGTCAAGAGGTGGAGCCTCTTGCAGGATCACAAGGAAACTCTCGTCCACCACAGGGAGAAGTGAAATATCACATGGAGCTACCAGCCAGATAAACATGGTGATGAATGCCAAAGAGCGGTACTGGGTTATGTAACAAGGCCCGCTAGTCGACATTTGCTCCGACTATCTGTGACATAAGTTGAGGTGTCCATGATAGAAATAATCCTAGAGAGCAGTTTGTGCTGTGAAAAGGAGAACTCTTTGCCAACATTCATACAGTTCAAACTGCAGTAAAGCATTTGGCTTTGATCAGAGCTGTGCACTCAGGTTTCACATACAGGGGAACTGAGTCCTCGCCTGAGGCTGAGCTCCCAAACACCTTTTCCTAGAGGCCATTGTATGATGGTGAGAGAGGTAATAAATGGCTGTGCCTGTGAGGGCAGGCCAGCTTCCCTCTCCGCATGGGTCTGTTTCTCTTGGCTTCGGTTTCTCAGGCTCCTCAGCCCAGTCGCACCGATGTTTGTGTGTTTGGTCTCATCCACTTCTTTGCTGCTGCACAGCTTCCCTCTTTAAGGCCTCCTAAGCCCAACTTTCACATTAGTTTCTTCATCTGTGGTTTCTCTGCGTATAAATCCCCCTTTCAAAGGACAACTTGGGTGTTTTTTTTTCCTGGTTTCATTGTTGTACCAGGCTGTTTATTGTTTTCGATCACAGCATCCACTTTCAATTCACAGAAGTGGAAACCTGTAAATTCACCGTGCTTCATCTACATTTAATAATATCATGGTGGAACGTCAGACCCTGCTGCAGCCAACACCAGCTGGCGTTTGTGTGCCTGTCGAGTCCCCAGCTGAGCGCTGTTGTTTGCTTGTTTTATTTGCAGAAAGAATAATGTAAGGAATGCACTCACTTGCCACTGGCGCCTGTATCACAGCATCGCGACTGCCATTCTTCCAAGACTGCCTCTCTTCAGATGATTTAAGGTGTGGAACATGACTCCAGTCCAAAGCACAGTCCGAGCCCATCGTCACATGGTCTGGACGCTGAAGTCCAACCTCATCTTGAGCCAACCTGCTTTGGCTACAAGATGAGTTCTAATAATTCACCCAAAGGACAGTCACCCCTACGTTGCAGGTTTTTATATGATGTTATTTAAGGAGCATCTGTGTATGCACAGTATTTTTAGGGACACTTTTCACACGGAGTACATGTTCGTAATCATTATACACGATCTATTAAATCACTGAAGACATTTATCACTGTCACTGTGGGACCTTTGACGATATCAATGGCTGCTGGGGCTGGAGCTACCTTTTTTTTGGTCGATACTTTCGTGATGAACTGATAAAAATTTTTGTCTATAAAATGTCACAGCGCACATTACTTCTTGTTTTGTCTAACCAACAGTGCAAAACCCAAAGTTAGTCAATCTTCAGTGATATAATACCAAGGAAAGCAGCTGGAACCTGCATATTTTGGGTATTTATGCTTATGGAAACGATTAATAGATTATCAAAAGTTATGCCAGTTGATTTCCTGTTGCTCGAAATGAGTTGTCTTTTCAGCTCCAACGACTTAAACCAACCTTCTCCCTCCCCTCTGTCCTTGTTTTTGTAGGTGATGGTAAACGGTGAGAAGGAGCGGGTGTCACTGTTGTTCATGAAGGCTCTGGTCAGCAGGGGGAGTGTGGATGCCGTGTCCCAGCAGATGGCCTCTCACCCTCAGTACTTGGAGAGCTTCCTGCGCACACAGCACTACATCCTGCACATGGACGGCCCCTTGCCTCTGCCGTACCGCCATTACATTGCCATCATGGTCAGTAACCAGGCTGTTCTCCTTCATGCGTTCCCAGGAACTACTGTGCATGTAGCTAAACAAACACAGAGTAGTCCAAGAAGCTGTTTATTTTTTTTTTCCAGGGATCATGCTGGTATTATACAAAATTAAAGAATAACAAGCTGTAATATTAAAATCAGTTCCCTGTATCTGTGTGCTCAGCTTCCTTTTCCTATGACTTTCAGGCTGCGGCAAGGCATCACTGTAACTACCTGGTGTACCTGCACTCAGCGCAGTTCCTGAGGGTGGGTGGGGACCCTCTGTGGTTGCAGGGTTTGGAGGCAGCGCCCCATCGCCTTCGTCTCCTTGACCATATCAACAAGGTGCTGGCCCACCAACCGTGGCTCACTGCCTGCTCACACATCCAGGTACAGCAAAGCAAAACACAGTCAAACAAATCAATGTGTTCATAAACCGCCACAAGATAGTATTAAATTATTATCACTTAAAGAAATACAGTATATCTTTAGAGTCCCCAGGATTCAGATTATCGAGTATGATTAAAGCCTTAAAATGATGACTGACCCTGAGCTCTTGTCTCCGTTCCCTCCAGACGCTGCTGAAGTCGGGCGAGCAGTGTTGGTCTCTGGCTGAGCTGGTGCAGGCTGTGGTGATCCTGGCCCACTGCCACTCCCTCTGCAGCTTTGTGTTTGGATGCGACACAGACTCAGACTTTGTCCCTCTCTCCAAATCTCCTAACGGTACCCCACCAACCTTCTGCCCCTTTGATGCTGCCAACGGCAACACCAACGTGCCTCAGTCACTTGCCACTCCCTCCGAACACATAACACGAAGACGGGTAACGAATCAGACTTGTATTTTCTTTAACTAAAAGTCACAGAGAATTGTAGAGCAAACTACAGTCTGTTTTAAAAAATATTCCTGCTTGAGAAGACAACACACAATCTCTTACGTAAGATTAAATTTAACCATAATTCATAGTGTGAAATAGTTGGTTCAGTCGGTCAAAGCACGTGTTTCGCAGCATTAAATTCTCACTGATAAAGCACCACTTTGAATTAAAAGAGCTCTTTGTGTAAATATGAGATTAAAGTGGGAGAGGGCATTTTCTGATAATAAATGTACGATTGGATTATGTCTTATCACGGTAGCCGTAGGTTAAATCTGTCCATGTAAGACACTTAAAGGTTAATTTAACTTCCTTTTTTTCTGGCATTTGTGTTGTCGACAGTCTCTGGACTCCAGTTGCGACATGGTGTGTCTAAAGGAAAGGATCCAGAAGTCCCAGGAGGAGCGAGAGAAAAGAGAAGAGCGTCTGCTACACACACAAACACTCCAGCAAACAGGTAACTGACATCTGCAGACAAACCCAGAAACACATAAACAAGCTAACGCTGTCAGATGTTTCCACTCACACCTGATGGTTATCTTGAGTGTTAACATTTTAGGTCGCATGGGGTGAAACTTGAGCAATCGTCACTCATCATCAGCCGCTTATTGACGCGCTCTCTCCGCCTCCCCTCCATCTCCTTGTCTTTCATCATCTCTTTTTTTAGATATGGAAGAAGAGGAGGAGATGATTTGCTTTGCAGACCCAACGCGTTTTATCACGGACCCCGACTTATGCTATCAGGAGTTCGCTCGTAGGGAGGAGGACCACTTCCAAGTATTTAGGGTTCAGGTGAGGACGCAACATTTGTGAATGTGTCTTACTGCCACAGTGAATACTTGTGTCTGATTGGCTGGCAGGTTACTGTGTAAGAGGACGCATCGAACATCCAGTGGCTTAACAGTTTTAAATCAGTGCACTTGATGTCTGCAACATTTAACCAAACCAGTGCTTTATAATACATGGTGTGCTTTATGATGTAACTTTAATAGCAGTTTATCTACCAACACTTATCAGGTTTGGTATTTGAATGGCCCATTTTCAATTGTATCACAGTCATAGAGAAAGGTTGAATCAACTTCCAGGTGGTCAATGACAAAATCAAGATTTAAATTTGGTGACAGATCAGGTGTATCTATACCAGATTTGACATTTTAACACATTAGTTTGTCGAGAGAAAATTACAAATAATAGTGAGAGTTGAAGTTTCCCTATTCCCTCATGTATTTGCAAATGTGTGTGTGTGTGTTTAGCAGTGTTTGGAGTAGTGCGTTATTGTAATTCCAATACTTTTGGCAGCAACTGGAAATCAAATTAACTTTTCAAATTAAATAACGCAATTAAAATCACTAGAATTTACATGGCCTCATTACTTTTGTCTTGATCACAGCAGACAAATGCCACCCACCTCCTGTTTTTTCCTGGTTTATGCTTTAACGTCACCCGACCTTACAGTGGCACAATGAATTATGTGAACCAATAATCAGTGTTCGATTGTAGCTGCACAATATGACCAACAGTTCAGGCACTTTAGCGTGCTGTCATGGAAATATAGACATTATTTTTCCCTCCTTGAGATCAAGGACAAAAATATAGCGGTGAGTTGTCATCTGTGCAGGTTTGAGATCTTCAGCCACATCAATCAAACAAACAAACAGCAGATGTATGAAGAGGGTTGAAAAGCATTGCTGTACTTAAATATTTGATGATTTAAGCTAATCAAAGCTTTGCTGACTTTGAGAATGTGTTGTGTTTGTGCTGCAGGACTACTCATGGGAGGACCACGGCTTCTCCTTAGTCAACAGACTGTATTCGGACATCGGGCACCTCTTAGACGACAGATTCAGGAGTGTGACCACCCTCCCCTCCATGCACAGCCCCGACCTGAAGAGGGCGATCTGGAATTACATCCACTGTGTGTTAGGAATACGGTGAGACTCCCACTAAAACTTCCATTTTTACTTCTACAAAAAAATTCTTTATGTTTAGTAGATAAGTAACTGTTTGTTTGTGGTTACAGGTATGACGATTATGATTACGGAGAAGTGAACCAGTTGTTGGAGCGAGATTTGAAGCTCTACATCAAGGCCGTGGCCTGTTTTCCTGATGCCACCAAAACTCCAGTTTGTCCACTGAGTTTGGCGCCACTTAAAACTTCAGAACGGGTAAGAAGACCTTCACTTTTTGTTTTCGGTTTCTACTCTAACTTTCCAGCAGTCCACGCTCTTTTTGCACTCTATGCTAATCTTTTTTCACTTTTAATTTTCTTTTCCCTCAGATACACATTAATTTACTAATCATGGAGGCACGGCTGCAAGCTGAGCTGCTATACGCTCTGAGAGCCATCACCCAGTACATGATCGCCTAAGTGCTCGGAGAGGCACGAAGCTAAAACTCTCCGCCGGTACAGAGAGACCCAGAGACACGAGGACGAAAAATTCTTAACAGCAGACGGTGACGTGGGACGAGAGCGGCACTTTTAAGGACACAGAGCTCCATCGTTTCGTAGCTGTGCCTCATGAATGTGCTTTTCTTTCTCTCAGATTTAATGTATTTATACCATAATGTGCCACGCCCCCCTCCTCCTGCAGATTCTCCTGTTGTGAAGTCCTCTTGTCAGACATCTCGGCTCTCAAACGTTATGTGCAATTATTACTAGAGTTGTTTTAATTTTTACCTGTTGTTTTGTGTTCCAGCTCAGTCTGAGAGAAACTGCTTGGTTGTAGCAGTGTGTTACAGTGGCCAACACTCTCCTTAGTTTGACCAGTCTCCTTTTTGTATTAACTATGCTTTCCCCCAAAATATCTTTTTGTACATTTTGAATGTCAGTGGGAGACCAGGGCCTCCGTTATTTTTTTGGACAATCCTTGTCAGTGTTGGAGGATGACATGAAGTGGACCGTGAAGGATGACAGTTTCGCTCTCCTAAACATTTCGTATTAATGCTGGTCAAAAAGAACAAACACAACAGTGACACTGCTGGAAGTTATCACATCACTATAGTTTCTTTTAATAAGCACTTTTTTAAACTTTATATATTTATAATGCAAGGTAGCTCATTAGTAGACATGGGGACGCACAGTGTGTGGGTCTGACGCCTTTCCTCCCCACTGTACGACATGTAACGAAGATTTTAAGACTGTTTGTCCTCGAACTTTCACTTTGCTTTTGTTCTCAACCCCAGATTTTCTGAGTGAAGAATCTTGATTCGAGATATTTCAGAGAATTATCGCTCCTCTCGTTATGTTCAGTTCAGTGCTGATACACAGAAGGATTTTGAAGGTAATGATGTTTTCAGAGCACACAATTTAAACCTGATAGGAACATTTGTAACTAAACTTAAGAAGTCAGTGAGCTGTTTCCTTCAGTGAAGACGAAGCTGAGCCATTCTCTTGATGATTGTTGTGTTTATTTGTGCTTCAGAAGTGATCAAATTAGAGACTGAATTTCAGACCAAAGGTCATTCTTAAAAAGGAACAGTAAAGTGAAAATTGTAGATCTGCACTGGTCATGAGTTAATGTTGAGTTCAGAGTTTTGCTCAAAGCTTTCTTTTTTTTTTGTGAGCTGTATCAAAGCTGATTATCGAGTCAAAATCCGCAGTACAACTCGCAAAGCAGAACAATGTGCAAACTGGTTAAAACACTCGCAGCTTTTTCTCCTGTCTTTTTTTATTTTTATAGTTTTTTTTGTAAACTATAGAGTACTCGTTTGTTTTGTTTTTGGGTGTGACGGTAGGACCTGCTTGTTGTGCTGCAGCCTGGGTAGATGTAGAGGTGTGACAGACTGTTTAGAGTTAGTAGCTGCAGGATGTAGAAAAGAAACAAGTGCATATCGAGCATATAAAGCAAAAGCGCTGTTAACACAGGTGCCTTCAGGCTAAAACTGGAGTGCTGCTGAAATGGAGGGATGTGACTACTGGAGGCTGAATGAGGGCTTTGGTTGCAGCTGGGAAACTCCCCCCGACTGACAAGTTTCAAACTTGTGGCTTTTACCGCACGGATGGGAACTGCTCTTTCTTGGTGTTGGTCAGCAGCGTTTCTGATAAATATTACGGCTGTGAACGTCCGTGTTTTCTATCAGACACCTTCTACGAGCCCCAGCAACTCAGCAAAGAGCCTTTGACACAGATGGATGTTAAAAATGTTCAACTTGAGCAGATTAAAAAAAAAAACACGGACAGTTACCTAAAAAAATAAATAAAATGAAATAAAAAAATAGAACAAGTGAAAAGGCAAAAAATGTTTTTTGAAAATGTGAAGAAATGTTTTCTATAAAGACGCTCTATGAAAATAACTGTTGTCTACTGTTTTACTTTCTTCTGACTTAAACAACCATACAGTGATTTTGCATGTTTGTCCATTTACCAAATCACATAGAGTTTTTAGACTTACTTTGTACCTTCCAGGAAGCCATTTTCTATCATTTGACTACATGAAAATCCACCATTGGATTTGATTGAACCAGCTAATCATCACAGTGCAACACTTAAACTGTTGTCAATTTTGGTGGAATACAGTGACAGAAGTGCTTTTTGATACCTTAAACATTGGTTGACAGTAAAATACATGTGATTTATCATAAAGCCAAAACTAGACAGAAGAATGTATAAGGGGAGACACGGCAGATGAATAGGGGAACTTTATTAACCAACAGATATCACCATGAGACTTCCCCAGATGAATACTTACATAAAGGCAATTTTTTAACAAGTTTTGTGAAATGTTATGTTTAAATGTGCTGATGAAGCATTATCTGATTAAATATGCACACATTTGCATATTCATTTCCAGAGTATAAATCTGGAGATTGGATAAAACCAGGTTCAAAATTCTTGTTTCATGTCAAATGTTTTTATAAAAGGAATTTTGGATATCTCTTTCAATCAATCCATAAATCAGAAACTAATGCCAATATTATCTTGCCATATTTTAAGGAACAAACATTTTATAAATCAGGCTCTGAATGAATAAATTCCTCTGTAAAAGCCTTCAGAATATAGATAAGAATAAATCAGGAAAGTTTGGTGTCTGTAAATGATACTGATGAGATATTTTGGCTCAGAATATCCGAGGGGGAAAAAAAGGCCTTTTAAGATGTGCATTGTAAAATCACATACATTTTTAGTGGAAAATAAGAGATTACAGGTGAACAGAATTAAATCACGGTTGATTACATACATTATACTATTTTTTTGTATTCAATAAAGTTCAAAAAGCGAAATCTGAATTAAATAAACACCTAAATGTGTATTTTGGACGACCAAAATAACCCAAACCCTCAAAATGTCTTCGACTGGGGTGCCTCCCATAACTGGTATTGCCCTCGTAACAAATTCAGGAAGGAAAGATAATTTTTTTTCTTTAGTGCAATTCACGTTTCTTTGCTCAAACTACTTTTTCAAGATGCAGACTGAACTTTGCTATTCCACCTTTATATCATTTAATTATTATTATGTATTTTTTTTAACCAGCAGTATATTGTACAGTATATTTATATTCGCCGCCATGTAGTTACAGTATTTGTACAACTGGACAACAGCGCTCCCTGGTGGCAGACCTGCAGAACTGAACACAGTCTGACTTAGTGGAAACGTTACTGGTCCCATTTGCCTGAATACCTTTGTCCATTCAGAAGTTCACACACAGGCCTAAACTCCAAGTCGTAATCCCAGATGTTTACAAAATACTCCAACACTCAGAAATCATTAAAAACATAAAACATATATAACATAAAATATATTATTTCAATCAATCATTACACAATGGGCAACAAAATACACACTTCAGGTATCACTATGAACCAGTTCAACTTTAGATGGTGTTGTGTGCCTTTGCCATTCGTTAATACGTTATAGTATATGGCGAACTCTGTTGCACTCTGCATAAGCATATTTTTAATATATATATATATATATATACACACATAATTAAAGAACATTTTCTTCTATCATTTTACATTAATTTATGTACAGCAGGTTCCCATCAAGTAGTTTGCCTGGACAAGTGACATAAGCATGAGTGCTTTAATGTCACTGTGTGGGTGAATACTCGATTCTAATTGGCTGCAGAGTGTCCATTAAAAACTAATGATGTACACTAAGTAGTTCCGGTGAAACTGTTTGTTCACCGTTCTAAATGAATGCGCGGGTAACATAATGGTATTAGGCTGACTCTAATGTGAGTAATGGACGCATTAAAGCCTCTGTTAACAATTAATTTCCAACACTGAGTCGTCTTCAGTGCCTCGTCCTCTGAACACCACAGGAGGGAGCCTGTAACACACACCGCAGGTACCACACTGCTTCTCTGAAACGGCTATCATCTTACACCCCACTTGCCGTTAAACTTGTTACTTCAGGCTGCGGCCGACAGCATCTCCTCACATAGCGTAAAGGTTGTTCGTGAAAATCTTGCCATTGATTTTGGGGCAATGACATGGCGGGATAGCTAGATAGTCTTGTTGTTAAACATACTGTCAACTTAAATTTACTGTTCGTCATCCGTACGCAACGTAATTGACTTTGAATCGTGCTAGCATAACGTTAGCTTTCTGGCTAATAGCAACTCTCAATAGGGGACTAGAAATATCTCCCGTTGCCAGACTGTGTCTAAGGTTCGTCCTATTTACTGGAGTAACGTTAGCGAATAACGTTTCTGTTGCATAAGAATCTTATGGGGCGGTAATGATTGTCCCAGGTATTAGTTCAACCCTGGGGAAACCGAGTTATGACTTGTTAAAAACTTTACATTTTGATTGCTATAAGCACAAAAATAGAAATGATTATTCCTACGTTTTATTTCTTTAGTAAGTGACTGTGGTATAAACGGGATAATGCCTTTCAAGGCATATGTTTCAAGGTGTCGTTGATACTTTTTAATGGCCTTCGCGGAGGTACCAGCATTATGTCTTACTTAACTATGCATGTATCACTTCGCCTCACAGGTGTTCTGAATCGTTAATTACGGGAACTGCTGATTAGCCTCGTCCCAACAAACTACTGAAAAAAGGAGCTTATTTTCACAAGTAAGACTGGAGTTAAATCTAAAATGCTCGACAGAGAAGGACACAGGAAGTAAAAAAAGCCTGGGTACTTAATGCAAATCTGTAGTTATGTACTGTCTGAGCAAATTTAACCCAAAGGCATCACACATATGCCGCCAAAGCAACTGTCAGACTTTTATTTCACAATAAATGGAAACACACAGATAAATGTACCTGATATAAAGTAGCTGACCTGCAGTTAAGTGTAGATCTGCACAATGTAGCCAGCTATTGTGCATGAATGTCAGTTTGTTGCTAGGTAACAGTCAAGTCCCAGTACAGTTGCGAAACCTTTTGTGTTAGTGGAGCCAAATAAATCAGAGGGACCCATGTGGTGAAAAGCAGGTGTAGGTGCTATATAAATACTGTGAAAGTATCAAAACATGCAGTTCACACAGAAATGCACACAATTCGTATTCAGAAATATCCCTTTAAACAAACCATCATGATTTCTGTGAATTTGTGATTTCACAAGTATATTATATAGACTGTTTGAAATATAAACATTAAAAATGGGTCCTTTTGCATTTCTTGTTGCAATAGTTTCAGTGTATGTGAAGGACATCAGCTGACAGGAAATAAACATGGACACAAGCTCTTGCCTAGCAATGAAATTCCAGTGAAACAGGCTTTGAAGATGGACAATATGGAGCATTTCAGACAGAGGGTGATTACAGGTATGTTGAGGCAGACAGTGAGAGAAAAATAATGTATTTTTTTTAACATTAGCATGTGAACATATAGAAACCAAGATGCAAGTATGAACCTGAAAATGAGCGTAATGTGGGACCTTTAAATAAACAAACAAATCATAATCTGTCCTTGCATTTTACTGTAACTTATAAATGGCGCATGCAGAACTATTGCATAAGGGCCTGTGACTGAATCACAGCTGTGCCAATATTCAGTACAACAGCACTTCCTCTCGTGTGATATTGCGTAATTATGTGCCTCTTTGATCCATGCTTGCAAATATCAACACAGAGGGAGCATCTTTTATAGATAGATAAGAACTGATGCACAGAAGGAGTTTCCCACAGGTGCATTAGGGACTGTTCTTTGCCCGTCAGAGGAGGAGGGTTGGTGTCATTAATTTTTTTTTGTTTTTTAATTGTCCCTCCCTGAAGCAACAAATATTTTTCCTTGAGCCTCCCTGAGGGACTGGCAGAAAATGCATGACTGTCCCTCCACCATTAATTAGATTTTTAAAACTTACCCTCTGATGTTTGAAAGTTAAAAGTTGACAATGAAATTCTGGAGTTGAATAAAGCCTCAGTTTTCACTGTTGGGGTGCACACTGGTTTATTTTTGGCCAAATGAGGCGTAGAATTAAGTGATTTTGATGAAATATCACTTTTATAAGCTCTGATTAGGTTATGTTTTTTTTTTTTTTCTTTTTTTCCTGACACAAGCGTTTGTCACACATAATGTGTCCAAGGACCATTGGAAGCATGGCAATTTCTATTCTTAATGTTTCTGGCTATGAGAAATGGTGTAAGTTTGGCGATTTTTAAAGAAAACTGAAAAAACAAAGACAAAATACAACCATTTATGTTTGTATGCCCCTCCCCCTAGCCAAAATAATAAACATTGAACATTCCCTTAGAGATTCATAATTACGCAAGTATTTCTAGCTGTGAATAGATGTTTTTATTTTGTTGAACACAGTTAATCCAATAGAGTTTGGGGTCTTTCTGTGAGATGTGTTAAAATAAAGTGTGAAGAGTGTGTGATAGAAACGGAAAAAGTGTCAACACATTTGCAAGAGGAGACTGTTTGTCTGCCGTGCTAAGAAGGTGATGATGAAGATCAAGTAGATCCCAGTTTCAGTAAAGGAGCTATATGTAAGAAATCTAAAGCAAATAGTCATAAAATCCTCCTAATATGTCACAGAGACTAAGGAATAATGTTCATATAACATACTGATCTCACCGACAACAATAGTACAGCCAGAATATTCGCATTTAAAAAACATTTTTGCAGTCCGCAAATCATGTTTATGTTTTGAATTTGTGTTTTGGCCTGTTGCGCCACTCACCGTCGTCTACCAGTCACGCAGTCAGAGTAGAGTCTCAGCATCAGTTACAGTTACGACTGAGCTACAGCAGCACGGCAAGCAGCATTAGCTGTGTCCCGGTACATAACATTAGCAGCCGGCTCCTCATGAGCTGTATCCCGGCAGCAGCGTTAGCAGCAGAGAAGCCGGACTTGCTCGAACGGTCCGCTGGAAAACCGAAGATCAAGGACGCGGCGACGCAGCCCTGCCACGGCAGCCGCCCGTGGGCAAACAAATCAGTCTCCAGCGTGCCGCTGTCCAGCAACCTCGAATCTGTAGGGGAGGGGGGGCGGACACAACTCGCGGCAGTATTTTGAATTTGAGTGCAGTAACCGTTTTGGCCACATTCTTACATACAGCGCCTTTAAGCATGTATTGTCAGTAGCTCGGTAACTTTGAACCAAAGACTCAGACAAAATGGGTTAAACAGTTTATTGAATTTATTTCTGCTGTTTGGAACTGTCATCTCAGGCTCACTTTACAATGTGTAAAGAAAGAAAAAGACTGAGGTGGTGGTGGGGGGAGAAAAACTATCAACATTAATCAAAAATCATTAACATAATTGGCTTATGCACAACTCATCATTCCCTGTCCACCCCCTTCCTCCCCTCCCCTATGGAAGAAAAACCCTTGCCAAATGCTAAAATACTGTATCAAATGGGGCGATTTTTAAAATGTCAAAACAAACATACAGGGACTAGCTGCTACTTAAAGAAAACAGAAAAAATATGTAGATAATTATTACATAAAGGGGGAGATACAAGGGAAGTAATAACACCACACCTGCCCTTTTTTTAAGGAGGCAACAGTAAACTAGAGACATCAAGCTGACCACCGCTCCTTTTACATGCTGCAGTCCGTCCTTTCAACTGTTATTAACATTTCCAACACCTGGACATTATTAGTTTAGAAAAAAACTGGGGGAGTTGTTTCATATTATACAACTTTCTAAAATAATTATGTTATGATTTAAAATAACAAGAAAATCATGCAGTTTGAACAAGCTGGTCTTCGGTTTACAGATCTATTTAATGACCAATTAAGGGGGGGTTATCATTTNNTATACATATATATATATATAACAAGAGAAAAACAAAGAGGGACTGTTGATCGTGTGCTAACTTCTACTGTAACACCAAATCAAGATCCTTGTGCTGTATACAGAAAATCCAAAAGGCCCTGATATGCACCCTTTGCATCATGGCGTACTGCAGGATACGTCACATATGACGTCTAGCACCATTCAAAAAGTAAAAAAACAAAACAAAACAAAAAAGCATTTGTGGAACAAAAAAGAGAGTGCTTTATACAAATCAGAGGCTAACATATTCACATAGCTACAGTGAAATGATGGATATTAAGAGTTTAAACTGCAGGGATGTTATTTCTGATCACAAAAGCATTATCAACAATTAAATACAAACACAAAACACAAAATTTTAAGGGGGAAGATGACGAAATCAATCTCGCTACAGAGTAAAGTCATGCTATAGTGTTTTAAATATTGGCAGTCAAAATAAAATAAAAAACCCCAAGGGACAGGTTAGTACTGATATACATGGCTGGAGAGCTAGAATACATTTCTCTCTAAAAATAAAAAAGGGAAGTCAAATTTGAGGTCAGCTCTTTTTAAGTCAGAAACTCCTCCAGGAAAACAAAACAAAGACGTGGTGTGTTGGTTTCCAGTCTGTTGTAACAGAGACAATCTGTAGAATAAATATACGTTTGTTTGCCATTGTCATGTTATCAGATGACGTCTGTGCAGAGTTGTTTTCCTGTTGTTTTTCTTCAGAGCGACCCTGAGAGGTAACGGTTGTATTAGTCTCATTTTGAGATGAGAATTCGGCAGCGTGTTGAAAAGCAGGATGATAAATGTTTTTCTTTGCCTCGCACCACATTTCAGCGCAGATTTTTTTCTTTTTACTTGGATACACAATTAATGCAGAAAAAAACATGAGACAGGTTATTGGGAATTTTAGTTAAAGTGTGTAGGATTTAGTGGCAAGCATGTAGGAGGACTATCGTGGCCAACATGAAAATGCGATTGACCCTATCTAGAGCTGGTGGTTGATTTGTCCGTTCTGGGCTACTGTTAAACAAGTATGTAGATCAAGTCCCCAGGAACAGCGCGGGCTTTGAAGCCAAGTTTACATAGTGGCCAAAAGTGGAACTACAACTACAGGGTCAGTCAAGTGATTCCACTGGGCCCAAAGACTTACCCATAGACTTGCATTGGGAACAAGAGGTTTTAAATCAGTGGATATATTTTTTTGAGTGCCACAACCCCTGTGAAACGACTTGTTTAACTATCACTTCACTACATTTCAAAGGTCTAAAAGAGCTACAAGATAACATTTTATCCCCATTAGAGTTAGAAGAGCGCTAAGCGCGAAGTCAGCCGCTCAGTCATGCTCGGATACCCTATGTCTCTAGTGCATTTACTCGATGGGCCCGGCAATACAGAAGATTCAGGTAAGTTCATACCGCCAAAATCAGAGCTTTTTTGGCTTCATGTGCCAATGAGCAACTTTAATAAGAATTAACGGGGTCCCGTCTGCAATGCTGTATCCAGGTCTCCTAATACATCCATGATGAAGATATAAATGGCTCATTCTAAGGTACCAAACAACCATTCTTAGTTTCAGGTGATTATTAACTCACAGGGACACACCACCTACATTAAAGAGTCCAATATGTTAATCCCATGGTCTTGGAAAATTCAATCAATACTTGTGAACATGAGCTACCCCCTCTCTAAGCCAGGAGTAAGAGAAGGAAGTCTCAAACTTGTAATGTCATCAAGTATTAAGTCTGGAGCTGCTCTATAGACAGTGAATGGGAGACTAATTTTTTGGACCCACACAATGTTTTAACTTTTTTTTTATACCCAATTGAGCATTATTATGTTGTAATGTTCTCAGTTCTGAAACAGAAAATGTACCCATGTACTCAGAACAACTCTCTGGGTGCTCTTGGTGTTGTCTATAACATCTTTCTCAATTCATTGTCTATGGAGCAACTTCAGACTTTACAACCTATGACATCACAAATTTGAGTTATAGCACTCCAGTTTTTTGGATTTGGGAAAGAGTTGTTAATTTTCACTAAGACCACAGAAATGACATGAATGGATTTTTAAAATGGGTGTAGTTGCCCTTTAAAGTCTGTGTCCACATTGTGTTTTTCTTTGGCAGAAAAGCCGTGGCAGAGCGCAGGAGAACAGTGGGTTTTGTTTCTATGAAAACAATATCATGACATTAATGGTAGCTAGCACTCAGAGCGGCAACACAAAAAAGCCGGAGTGCTGTAAAAAGGAAAAAAGACACGAGGCATGGAACAACTGAAATGGATGCCAGTGCTGAGAAAAAACAATATGTGGACACAGGCCTTAATGAAAGCATAGTTCTGAATATTATATACAAATTCCACCATTAGATGCCCTTAAATCCTACACGCTGGACTTTTAAAATGGTCAAGTATTGATGCATTTTGCCTCACTCGACTCTCAAAGTCAGATTTCATGTTACAGGCATGTTTTGCAAAGCTTATGTACACCGAGATACTGTGTCAGGCCCAAGCGCTCCCTAAATGCCATGCAAATGCAAATATTAGTGTTCCTTTGGTTATGTAAAAAAACAAATCTACATGCATCTCATCCTTTACAAAAATAAAAGTATAGAAAATTACCGTTAAAAATGATCTGAGAATGCTTCCTCCAATGTAAAAAAAACCTTGTCATTAGTAATATATTCATATGTATTAATATTTCATTTATTACCTCCATCTAAATTGTATATTAAAACTATAATCAAATATATTCTTTTTTTGTACTTCTCACACTGAGAATTAATTTCTTGAATTAAAATGTGAGAGATTTTTCTCTCATTTTTCTGACATGAAGCACCCCCCTCAACACCCCCGAAACAAAATATCAGGAAAATGTTAAATAACAAAACCCTTCAAGAAGTGATTATTCAAATTTCCTTCAAGATTTCATTTAGTTCTCCTGATAAATCTGCATAGTGTGTCATCGTGTACATGTGCAGTGTACATGTGCAACGTGTAGTTTACATGTTTTTTTTTTTTTTTTTTTTGTTTTTTTGAAAGGATTTAAACTCTTTTTGATGAAATGGTATAACCTAATGTATCTCCTAGTTTGGGGTCCCTGTGTTGCTGGAACCTAAGTGCTTTGAAAATGCACAGACTCGATGAAAACAGAGAGAAAGAAGAAATAATCAGGTAGACCATGTGACAGTGGAGGCATACTGCTGTCTAAAACAATATAATACTTGGCCAACCAATCACATGTTGGCAAATAAATTTACCCTTGAATGCCCCGTGTATAAATTCACAAATCACATTTCTTCATTTTGTTAGTTCAACTGCACATCAGGGATTTAAAACAACAACAACAAAAAAACACCCTCTAACAGACATCTACCATAACACACTGGATTGAAGTCAAAATGCCAAACTGCAAATACAGACCCTCTTAACTGTTCAATCACCAAATTTCATTGGAGGAAAAAAAAGCATCTACTTTTCTCTAAAGTGAGAAGTTTAAATCGTACAAATAATCTTAGTCCACAAATGGGCGAGGTGTGTAGCCAAACATTTTATACCTCCAGTCGTCCAGTCTTGTATCTTCCATCTGTTCACAACACAATCCGAGTCCTGTGATGAAACCTTTACACGGTGCAGCAGCGTGACTGCACTTCAAACAGCATTTGGTCTGGCAGTTCATGCAAGTGTCAATGGAAAACTGGCCATTTCTCCAAAAAAACGCACAGTCCATTGAATCTTCAATACCAATGCCATCGTGTACCGTATCCACCCTAAAGCTATTATGGTGTAACATAACTGAAATACAGACTCCCAGCTGAGGGGAGTTAATGATTTGTCTTTTCACTCCTAAAAACATCATGTCACACGTCTTTTAAAAATCATCAGTTCGGATTAGAAGAAAAAAAAAAACGGCTAGCAGCCAAGTGTTATTTTTTAAAAAAAAGGGAGAAATATTGTGCATAGTAGCCTGAATCTCCTCTCTGTCCCCGCATGTCTTCTTGGCACATGACATGGCTGAGGTCTGGTCTTTTAAGTCCGAGAGAAGTGTTGTGTTTGAAAATACTATCTTCAGCCAGCAGGGAGGAGGAATGCACCGGTCATTTTGTTGTTTTGTGAGGTTATCCTGATTGGAAATCAGTTCCTGCAAGACAAGACCATAAAACGGTCACTTGTGTAATAATAAATGATAAATGTAATAATTAGGAAATACAAATTATGTGAAGAGATGTACTAAAAGTCATCTACTGACTGAATCACTGTAAATCAAATCTTAAAAATGAGTTGATCAGCAGAAAACTAATTTGCAACAGTTTTGATTATCTGCATACAGATTTACACCTCATTTTCACATAGCTCTTTGTGCTTATGCGAGTCAACCAGAACTCTGTTCATTCCTATGAGAACCTCTTTTAAAATGGTCAAGTATTGATGCAGTTTGCCTAACTTGACTCTCAGTCCGATTTCATGTTACAGGCGTCTTTTGCAAAGCTTATGTCGCTTTATGTCAGGCCCAAGCGCTCTCTAAATGCCATGCAAATGCAAATATTAGTTTTCCTTTGGTTATGTAGAAAAACAAATCTACGTGCATCTCATCCTTTTCAAAAATAAAAGTATAAAAAATAGTGTTTGTTAAAATTCCGCCTTCCGTTTATTTTGCTCTGTAATTTGCCTCGAATATGTCGAGAAAAAAAAAAACCTTTTTCAGCAGATTTCTGACAGACTGTATGCACTGTTTTCCAGGAAATTGGCATGAAAACAAATTAGCTAACAGATTGGTGAATGTAAAACAGCTCTATAAGTTAAAAGTTTGACAGCATTGTTAGCTGTGTAACTAATAGAGTGCATGCATGGTGGATCATTTGTGTTTTAACAAAATATTACACAAAACTGGCCACACAACCGCAGGCCAACCTTTCCACTTATTTGTTGCCATGGTATCACTGGTCCTGTTTTTGTCTCTGTACTGCGCGATGCCTATATTCCACAAGACTGGATGACAAATAACACTCAAAATTAACTTTTCTGTAATATCTGCGGTGGCATCTCCATCTATCCATAAAGAGATGCATTTCCCTGCATTCAACACTGGGGGCGCACTACGTGAACGACACGGAAATACGGAAACAAAACTGTGGAAATGAGGTGTAAGTGCTGCAACTACAAATAATTATTTTCAGCATCAACTGTTTCTTGGTCTAGAAAATGTCAGAAAACTGAAATGCTCAACATTTCTTTTCAAATGTCTTGTTTTGTCTGATAAATAGTCCAAATTGAAAATATATTTAGTTTACAATGCTATAAGACGGAGAAAACTAGCAAATCCTCATTTGAGATTAAACAGCTCCATCAACTGTCAAAGTAACTATTAGTTGCACCCTGATGGTCTGAAAGAGGAGAGATCAGTGTACCTGGCTAACTCCATGTGGTCAGCTAAGAGATTAGCTGGGCACCCAGCTGTGAGCGGAGCCCTGTGTAGTGGCCGGTCCGGCGTAGCCTTGGCCTCCAGGCAGTATGGGGTCAAAGTTGAAGTCGATGCCATCTCCGTCCATGAGGTCACTGTTGATGATGTAGTCCACATCACAATCCAGGTTTTCGGTGAACATGTCAATGTCCAAGTCTGTGGGCAGTCGGTCTTGACCGGGCGGGAAACAGGACGCTGCTCCGAAGTGACTCATCCCCTGCAAGCTCACACCAGGACTGGCTGAGGTGACAGGCCCTCCATGATGAGAGCCCACCGCTGACACCGTGGCATGCTGGGCTTTGAGGGCAGACAGCTGTGACGGGTCCTGAGACATACCTGAGAGGATCATCCCCAGCCCCATCTGAGAGTGATGCTGGTGTTGTTGCTGTGGTTGTTGTTGATGCTGCTGCTGGTGCGGCGGCTGCTGCTGCTGCTGGTGGTGAAGGTGACGCTGCTGCATCTGAGCCTGCAGCGCCATGGGGGCCGCTGTGTTCGGTTCCAGCCCTTTACCCAACAGCAGCTGGTTGGGTTTGGACCTCACACCTACTACTGCTGTGCCAAGGCCCATCAGGCCCACTCCTCCAGGACTGGGCATGAGGGGATCCACCTGGGTCATCAGGACATCACTGGGCGGAGGGGAGTCAGAGGTGAGCAGTGCCTCCAGGCTGGAAGGCACGTGGGTGCTGTAATGGCCGCCCCCACGAGAGCTGGAGGCAGGTATGGGGTTGAAAAGGGAGTTGCTGAAGGTTGTTGGCTCTTTGCTGCTCGGTCCACACTGAGAGACGGAGGCCTGGGTCCCGGTGTGGGTGGGGGCCTGTGGGAGGCTGGATGGCTGCAGCTGATGGGGGAAGGAGGAGAAGCTGGAACCACGAGGCAGCAGGGTGGAGGCGGAGGGCAGTGGAGTGGGAGGTGCTGGTGGGGCTGTGCTGGGACTGGCCCCTCCCTGCTGCCCAGTCATCAATGTGAGGCCGTCGATCAGATCCAGCTCCTCCATGAGGGTCTCTGTGAGGGTGGGGGTCAAGCTGCTGGCAGTGTATCTTCCCAACAGTCCGTCCTCAGGCAGGTTATCGTCGTCCTCCTGTCCAGGAGCAATGGGGGACAGACGTCCACTCAGGGTGCTGGCGTTAGAGCCTGTGCGTGAGCGGAAGGTGGTCCACATGTCAGCGTCATCCAGGCTGCCGCGAGATGAGGGGCTGCTGCTGTTGACACCCCACTTGGGAAACTGCTGGGACGAATTAGGGCTGTCTGCGCCCGCTGAACCTGTGCTGCCGTCGCCCTGCACCCCTCCAGCACCACCCAGGCCAGCTGCTCCCGCCTGCTTCTTGGTCTGCTTGGCCCTCATGCGGCTCTTCAGCAGTTTGCTGCTGTTGTCCATGGAGGCGGCCCGGCGGCGAGGAGCCTTCCCAGTCTTACCTCCCTCAGGGTTAAGCATCCACCAGGAACTCTTACCTGTCGATTCATTGTGTACCCTCAAGAACTTGTTGTGGAGTGATAAATTGTGGCGAATTGAATTCTGAAACAGGAGAAAAAGAAACAGGGAAATTATATGAGATGGGAGGTTTTTCAAATTAAGAGTCGGCTTCTTTCATTTAACACTGTTTAATTTGCAATTATAACTATTGGTGTATATACTTAAGCCCTGCCAATGTTTAAATTATCCTATTATTAAATTATCTTATTCACTATCCAACTCAATTCAGTTTAAATAAACTGTCTTGCCTTGTTTCATTATTTCATCGAGAATTACCGGCTTGCAGCTGTACGCCTCCGCGAACCACTCAAGTTGCAGTTACAGTTTACTTTTATGTCTGTCCAGACTCACAAGTAGCCATGACAGTCGACAATGCTTCAAATATGGATGTTGCTGCAAAGATGCTACATATCCTTAAATGTGGAGGCTTCACACACATCTTCCCTCTGGCAGCACAGAAGATCTGTACAGTCAGCACAGCTTCAAGGTGGACACCCAAGATTATAGTCTCCAATTCAGTATCTGACCAAACGTCTCCCCCTTTGTTCCTGAGATATGACATTGAGTAATGGCCAGAAAAGTGTCACAGTGAAGTTGACCTTAGACCTTATGGATATAGAAAGTTATCACTTCATCATTTTATTCTATTAGACATTGTGTAAAATGTTATGTCATAAATAGCATATGAATTCTTAAATAAATGCCAAAAACATGTTTTTTGAGGTCACAGTGACCACCAAAATCTAATCACTTCATCACTGAGCCTAAGTTGAAGTTTGTGCAAAATTGCAGAAATTCCCTCAAGGCATTATTGAGGTATTGTGTTAACTAGAACAGGCCAAACAGGCAGACATGGACAGATGGACAACCCGAAAACATAATGCCTCCTACCACCGCTACTGTTGGCATAAACTAAAATTACTGCCCTGCAATTGTATGCCTCCATGCACCAATCAAGTTTCTCTTACAGTTTACACCCACGTCTGTAAAAACAAGGATGCTTCACACACATCGTCCCTCCAGCAGCACAGGAGATCTGTACAATCGGCACAGTTACAAGGTGGACACCCAAGATTAGTGTCACCAATTCAGTATCAGACCAAATGTTTCTCCTTCTGTTCCTGAGATATGACATTGGATAACGGCCAGAAAAGTGTTTAATGCAGATCGTTATGATGTCACAGTGAAGTTGACCTTTGACCTTTTGGATATAAAATGTCATCTCTTAATTGTTATATCCTATTAGACATTTGTCGGAAAAAGCCATAATTAACGTATGAATTCTTAAATTATACAAAAAAAAAATTGTGAGTTCACACTGACCTTAACCCTTGACCTTCAACTCCCAAATTTTAATCAGTTTAATCTTCAGTCCAAATGGACGTTTATGTCAAATTTGAAGAAAGTACTCTTGAGATATATTCACAAGAATTAAACGAATGCAAGGTCACACTGATTTTGACTTTTGACCACCAAAATCAGTTCATTGTTGTGTCCAAGTGAATGTTTGTGCCAAATTTGAAGAAATTCCCTTAAGGCGTTCGTGAGATATCGCGCTCACAAGAATGAGACAGATGTAAGGCCACACTGAACTTGACCTTTGACCTATGACCACCAAAATCTTATGAGTTCATCGTTGAGCCTAAGTGAACATGTAAAATTTGAAAAAATTCCCTCAAGGTGTTGAGATATCGGGTTTACAAGAATGGGATGGACGTGTGTTATAGTAGTTATTTCTTTGTTTCGAAGGGTTACAAGCCAAAACGGGTTGGGAACCACTGGTCTGAACTACAACAGTACTTATGAAGTCAGTTATCTCAGGTCGGTATACTTAAAAACTTTTTTGTTCCACAAAAGGAAATTATGTTTGCAGTAAGGCGGAAAAAAGACATGAAGATTTAAATACATAAACACACACACACACACAAAATACAATAAGCCAATTGAAAACAGATTAAGAATGATAACGATGAATCGACGACTGATTAATTAATTTAAAATTTAATCGATCAAATAAAGATCTCATTCAGTTATAAAAACAATGTGTAGTCCCCTATTGTGTTAGCTACGTTTATTTTGAAAGCATGTTTTAATGACTAGCAGTAGCAAACAAAGGGCGCATTATCACTATTTTATGATAAGGTGGCCATCATGGGGTCTGGAAGAAGAGCGCAGCGGTGACACATGTTTCATAGAGTATGCAATGCTGTCAGAGAATATGCAGTATGTTGCTGGGAGTTTTGACTGAGGAAAGAAAAAACACATTTGGTATTGTTTAGTACGAGCAAAGTTAAATCAATTAATTGATTAAGTGATAGTTAATGTTACCTGTGATCGATTAAGTGCTCACAATTTTCAACCCTAAGACAGATAAATACTGCTAGTAGAGTACATAAATTAATATAAATATACGATGTAAAGGAACAGTAAGACATGTCTCCATCATCTAGTCAAATATGAAAAACATCAATTAAGGGAGGCCATCTGCAAACCAGTACTTGTGTGTGATGTAACATTAATTGCAAAGTTATAAATCTATGGCTTAAAGTAAAACATTGGAATCCACCTTGTAAAATGATGCAGTGAAGATGTGCGCCACCCTCATACTCACCTTCCAGCCAGCTGAGCTGTTGCTGTCTCCTTTGTCTCTGAAGTAAGGCACTGTTTTCACCATCCACTCATAGATCTGAGCCAGGGTCAGCCTCTTCTCAGGTGAATTCTCGATGGCCTGACTAATCAGATCAGCGTAGCTCTGGTTCCCCCACGCGTTGCGCCGGGATGATCCTTTGCGGGGCGTCGCGCCGGCTCCGCCCACGCCGGCCACGGCCCCTCCCTCGGCCGCTGCTGCCGCCTTCTCCGGCTCGGACGTGATTTGCTGTGGCTCGGGTTTGTCCTCGTCGGCGGGCGGGGTCCCAGCGGCGGACTCGGAGCCATCCGCCCCCTCCGGTTTGACAACCGAGATGTCGGGTCTTGGCAGCGGCCACGTGCAGGAGCGGGGTCTGCTCTGTGGCTCGAAATCTGGGTCAATCGGGGGCACCGACGACTCCTCCATGGCGGTCCTCTGAACTTCCTCTCAACCAAAAAGATGGGACCACTTAAAGCATCTACCTTTAAAAATTGAAGTTTCAGAGGATGATGCGTTAAAAAACTTCCTGACACAAAAACAATATGCCTCAGCCCCTGCGGGGGTGTAAACAGAGGGGCCTGCAGAGGAGACGTAATAATCTGGACACACCAATAGCCTCGGTTAATCCTCAGATTGGAGATTAGGGAACCCAAATAATCTCCTTAATAGTAACTATCATAAACCTTCCGATTTATAAAGAATGAAGAAGGGCTGGGATGAGAGTCCCTTTGTTTGAATGAAATAAAAACAAAAGTGGCAGAGCGGCAATGAGCACCAAAACATCTGGATCTACAGAGGTTTGGGCTCACCTGAAAATGAACACCAAAATATTAAAGGTATATGGATACAAGATAATGCCATTCCTGTTAATAAACAATTTAAATATGTGTCAATTGATAATGTTGTAAAAAGAATACTTTATACTTTGTCAAACTAATATTTTAAGAGTAGATCAAAATGAATTATTTCGTGCCAAATTTGTAAAATGATGCATATATTTTCTCATTCAAACCTAGGATTATTACTGCAAAGCTATGAAGAGTACAAACAGGGATTAGCTGGCTACTGTTACAAAGGATCCTCTCAGGAGAGCCCCTGTCTGTCTCCACTTGTAAACAACGTGATGTCTGGATTCTCCACAAGCCAAATACAAACTCAACACAAACTTTAAAAAAATATGCAAAGTCACAAATCGGTCCGGTACATCAAAGTCAAGTGAAAAAACACAGACCGGCCGATTATCCCAGCAATGGTTGTGTTAGCCAACTGCCAAAAAGTGTAAAAACCAGTAAAGAGACTGGCCGCCGTCTCTTTGGCCTGTATGTTAAAGCCGCTGTAATTTAACAACCAAAGAAATGTCGACTGAGGGAAGAGGAAATGGGAGAGCAGATTTTGATGGCGGTTTAGTAGTGTTTTTGAAAGATAGTAAAAATGGGAAAATGAGAGAAATGTCCGTAGGAAAAGTCCGTGCTTCAGGTCTGCATGATCCACCACATTGCGGCCAGGCGCATGTCACCATCTGCCATGTTTCTCCATACTCCTGCCGCGGCACACGATGCTCGAAGAAGCGGTTATAAAACCCTCTCGACCGAGGCCCGGAGCTCCGCCGATCTTCGCCCCGCGGTCTCGGTGAACGAACTACAAAGCGAATTCCCGGCTATTGGGTGAAGTTGGGTCGCCTCGGAAGTCTGTCGGCTCCCACTCGCCTCACTTTGAAAACAGCACGATAGCCACCGTAACGTTAGCTGGTTAAGCTCCTGCTACTCCAGAGTTTACAATCCGTGAAAAACTCCGCGAAAAGCCCCCGATAACTTCCACCAAGTGACCGCTTTTAATCAGCGATGAGTTTTGTAACACTTCCAGTCGCTGTGGCTGTCCAAATATTCACTCCTTCTGTATCTTTTTGACTTGTTTTGTTTTGTTTTGTTTTGACTCGAGGCGAAGACTCCCTTCTGACGTCTGTTTACCACTGTCAGGCAACGCGATCTGCGCCTGCGCGAAGTGGATTTCTGGGAAACTGAGTCATTCATGTGACAGCACAAGCGTAAACAGCCGCTAAGGGAGGCAACATGTACCTGGCCTTGATAGTGCGTTATGTAACAGTTTCTCAAAGTGTGCTAAGTCTCAGGTACACTTAATGCAGTTGAGCTATTACAGGTAATTAGAGTACTGATGCTACTAATTGACTAATACAACTGAAACTACAAAACAACATATTAAATAATAATGAAATATAAATCAAATATATAATAATGAGAATAATGTGTGGCTGGATTAATGTGGTAATGTCAACGACAGCTGTTGGCCTCCTATCGAACCCCCCTTCTAGTGTTGTCATGATACCAAAATCTTTGTTTCGGTACCCATACCAATATGAATTTCGATACTTTTCCTAAGGAAAAGTCCTTTTGGCTACAAACCTTTAGAACAATAAATAGTAGGGGTCTAATGGTACCAAAAAATCATGGTTCTGTAAGTACCTCGGTACAGATGTCACGGTTTGGTTGCTCAAATGTTTCACCAAGTTGGTATTGTCTCGTGTTGTCTCCCTTTGCGAGGCAGACTTTCTCTTGTCTTTTTTCACGTGCGCCAGCTGCTAATGTTGATACAGGTGTTGTCATACACACCACTTGTGCAATCTGTGCTCCAATAGGAACAAGAAAGGTGTTTGTGTGCATAAATGAGTAAAATAAATTAACTAAATTAATGAATTGAATCAATTTCAAAGTACTGGTATTTTCCAAATGCAGTATAGTACCATTTGGAATAATCTAGTACCACGGTACTATTTTAGTACCGGTATACCGTGCAACACTACCCCCTTCCGTCACAAAAAATAACCTTGTGCATTGTGTAAGTACCCTCTCCTCTATGCACTGTCCACACTTCAGACAATAAAATAGTCTAGAGACCCCAGCTTCAGAAACCAACCCCATATTCCTATGTCTATATGACCTGGTTTTCATTTAGCCTTTAGTAATTTAATTAGCCCATTAGCATGGCTGTATTTAGGAACATGCACCATGTGAGCTGTATAATAACTAAAATAATAACCACTACTACTACTTTTGACACAGGGCTCTAAAAGACAGACAAAAGATTGGTAAATAATGCAGTGGATGTACCTTAGTGCTACAGATTCTTAAAAAAATACAATTAATTAAATTATGTGCGGTCAGAATGTGTGGACAGTTAAAATATTCCACACCCAGAAAACACAGATTACCAGAACCATCCAGAAACATTGATAAAGCGGCAGCCAACAATGAAAGAAGATGCAAAAAGGACTGCAGTGCACAAGTTAAAAGAACTGATGGTATCACATTTTACTGGAGTTGTTCCTTGTATAATTCTATGCGACGAATAAATCATTGAATTGAATTTAACTGAATTTGTGTACTGTATTTTAGCCCTTTTTTGCATCTTCTGGTTCTGGTTATCCATAGTTTCTGGTTGTTGAATGATTTACCTGACCACACATCCCAACCTCAACAAGACGGCAGCATGGTCGCTCCTTCTGAACACGCCCAGCAACTCTGAACGATGTATAGCAGTAATCCACCGCAGTAACTGGACAGCACCTCACATTCCCACTGTCACACCAGTCCTTATTCACTGTAAAGCACACTCCTCCCCTCCTTCTCTCGCCAGCATCCTTATGTTCCATCAGATTGGCAAAATAGAAAAAGACCCTTCTGGTTGAATGGCGCTGTCCAGGATTTAGCCAAGTTGCGGTGAATCAAAGGATATTACAGCTCCTGATATCCTGTTGGAAACTGATGCAGCACAGAGGTCATCCAGTTTATTTCCAATGCCTGTACAGTGGCTAGCAGGATGCTTGTTCAGCTGGTGGCCATTGTTCTCCATCTTTTCCTTGATGCTTACTAATGTTCACATTTGAAAACCCCGACCTTGCTAGCTAGCAGAAGTCAGCAGAAGGAGAGTTCACTGACTGATGAGTTGATTTTCTCAACAGGATGAGTGACTCTCAGCCACATGCCACCACCGTCCAAGCCAACCACAAAAAGTACCACAAACACTTGCGAAATAGACATAAGAGCCTAAATTAGGCCCAAGTTGGGCACAAATTTAGCAGAGCTGACAGAGAGGCAACCCCAAGCATACATGCCTACGTTACTACTATTATACTATTACAAATGTAGCCATTATCACAAATAAACTTAACAATTTACCATTATTAATATTACTATCAGTTCTAGTGTAATGGTGTGCTGCAGTTCTACGTGTGCTTTGTCCAAGTGTTGTTGCTGTGCCCCAGCAGAACACAGTCTACAGTGTAGATGCTGCAGGCATATGTCTTAACTACCAGGCGTCGAGATACTCTGTGGTGAATGACTTTTGTCTTATCTCTATTTTAAATCCAAATGGGAGATATATCTTGGTTTTACAGTCAGTCATGTGTGTTAAACATTTGCATGGTTTCTTTTTTAGCGTGACTGTAAGTCTGCTGCCTAAATGAGAGGTTCTCAACTTCTTTTTCAGCCAAGGAACACTTATAAGATAAACTTTTGGAATAATTTGACAGCCTATTTTTTTTTAACATATCTTTAATCTTAGTTATAGTGTCTGAGTCACTGGCCTCGTTTAAGTCTCTTCTAAAAACATATTTCTATCGTAAAGCATATCCTGACTTTATCTTAGCTGTCTGTCTATTTTATTGCGATCTTACTGACTTAAATGACCTTTCATTATCTTGATTTTAACTTTGGCCTTATTTTATCTTTTACTAGATGACATTTTATGACATGTTATTTGTTTTACTCTTCTTGTGTTTTAATTGTTTAGTTTTATTGTACAGCACTTTGTAACTGTTTTGAAAGATGCTATATAAATAAAGTTTATTATTATTATTTGGAAGAAAAACCCAAGAAAAAGTATTAGAAAGACATTAGACATGTTTTAAAAAATATTTTCACTGCCTCAACTCAGAATACTCAAAAATTCAATTAGCTGCAAAATATTCAAGGCATATCAAGAAAAAAGGGCATATTTGAAGTGCATTTCTGAAGACACATCAAGAAAAATTGTTAAATAATAACAATGTTAAATAAAACCTGCTTATGGTTATCATATTATTAAAATATGATAAAATATAATAATTTAAAGGACCCCCTGATAGAGTTCCACAGAGCCCACTTTGAGAATCATTGGTCTAAATGTCACATCATCCTGTGGTTTGAACTGGTTTGTCATAATCCACCACTAAGTAATTATATTCAGTAATGAGTATATGTTAGCTTTGGCTGTACAGTTACACCAGCAGGCTGTGTGTTCCCACTCTGTGCATTACTTTAGAAATGATCTTACTTGAATTATTTAACTTCTTGGAGTAAATAAGCTTCAAACACTTGGTTCCACCGTTGACTTTTTGTGTCTACTCTCTTTTTTCACAGCCTTTCACCTCTGTCAGTTGGGGTCCTGCAATAAATAAAAAAAATAGATAACAAAAATGCTCTGTAAGACATAAAGTAAACTGATGGTCTTCATTACAACTCAGCAAACTCGATCTGCCGATGAAAATTGTATGAAGTGGTTCTGGACAAAAGCTAGTAAATGTTTTTGAATGAAGATTTATGATCAGTCCTGGGACTAATTATTATGGGCAGATTTTTGCATCACCACCTCTCCTACACACACAGACTGTTCGTTGTGAGTCTCTGTACAGCTATTTTGCATCTTTTGTGTGTGTGTGTGTGTGTGTGTGTGTGTGTGTGTGTGTGTGTGTTTTCTTTGTGGTCATTTTATTGGTCATAGTCTCTTCCTGGTTGGTATGTGAGGGACACTTTGCAGGTGAAGGCCAGATAGGCCCCAGACATTTTGGGCCCGTGGGCCTGTGCGCATAGACCCATTCAGTAACCCATTTGTGCTAATTAGGTCTGTTACAATGATGTTGTTGATAAAGGAAATTATATTTTCTTGAAAGACACACTTTGAATTTCTTCTTCTTACCTGATGACACGACATGATTTTGGGCAGTTGTATTGAAATGTACCCGTACTATCTTTATAAACCGTCCACATACATGATGAATATATCAAATTGGTAAACATGTTTCTTAATGCAGTAGCCTACACCAAGCAGCAGAAAGGGGTCTAGAACTGCGATAATGTCTTCGCGCTGGACTTCAACTCCCAGAAGCGTTTGCGGTCGTTCTCTGTGTTTACAACCAGCTGACATCCGGCGTCTTCCCGTCCATTAGCCACCGATACCACAGTCAACGATATCCATCTACACTCGATATTTTCCTCCTGAAAAGCGCTCCCCGCTGATTCGTCAACCCAACTGAATGCAAAATTCCATCAAAGTCATCAGATGCAGGTGAGCTAGACGAGACAAAACTTGCTGTTGCACATTTAGCCAGCCAGCTAACCCGCAGCTAGCCAGCGATAGCAGGACAGGTATCATAAGCTAACAGGAGCTAGTGCTAATGTTAGCAGAAGCCTTGATATTTGCAGTGATCAGTTCCGACATCTGTCTGGACGAAACTCGGTGCTAGTTGTTGTCCTCGGGCGACATGCATTTTCTAGCTGATTAACAGAATCAGCTGTTTTATTACTACAAGGCAGCAAATTAGCAACGATGGTGGAATCCAGCTAATATGAGAAACATTAGCCCGCTAGCTCAACTAGCTTAACGCTAACTGTTGGATAGATTGCTAAACTCGTCGCTGCCGTAGCCTGACAAGCTAAGTCCTTTGTTTTAATTAGCTAAAATATAGTGAAGTGAGTCTGATTTGTTTATTACGTATACGATTGAAGGTAACTTAATCAATCATGCAATATTGACGTTTGATTGGCAGTGTTGTGATGTTAGCTGTGACATTAGCGACATGTTATCTCGGTGGATAATGGATTATGTGCAGTGCAGTTATGGTGCCAGGCTGTGGGAACCAGCTTCACAGTGTTTGTGTTGTTTGTGTCAGGGCTCAGGCCCCGTCTCCAGCAGCTGAAGCACACCAGCCCTTGCCTCTCTGATCCACGTCCACGGCCTTCCTCCACACTGAGCCATGACCACCCAGAGGGATCTTGATATGGTGAGTGAGTTAGGGTCTGCCACCTTTCTCCTGTGAGTTTCTTACAGCAACACAGAGCCAAGGTGATAATCTGTGTTTGCTGATACCTTGTGCTCTCTGCACTGTAGTCTGTCACACCTACTGCTGCTGCATGATATACAGACATAGTATATTTGATTATTATGGTGCTAACATTACAAAAACGTGTCCCCAAGTCAAAGTAATTCAGAATTTGGGGGGTGGAGTTGGAGGGGGGGGGGGGGGGGGGGGGGGGGGGGGGGGGGTCACGGATTAGCCAGCGTCCACAAACACTTAGCTGGGACAGTGACTGCTGTTACTGTGAACACCATCTGTCTAATCTCGGTTAAAACGTTGCCCTACTTTCCTTTCAAGGTTTAGACTAATTGATTGTACCCTCTTACTAAATCCTGGCCACAGCCCCCCACTATAGGAATGGGCAGCACTCATTTAGAGACAGATCAGAAATGATAGTAGAAGTTAATACAATTTTTTTTGTTAATTATGACACCTTGCTTTCTCACCTGCAAGTATTCACTTCATAGTAATATTTCAGAAAGAAAAGCATTCAAGTTTTTGTGTTTGTGGAGCTGTAATCAGCTGAATTTTGTGTCTTTGCTTTTCATGTCTTAACACATTTAATTGATTATCAAAGTCGAAAGTTATAATTTTATGATGATCAGTCGGTCGATTAGACAATCAGTTGCTCTCGGGCTTATGTGAGTAATAGAGAAGCATTTAGTGCTGGAACAGTTAGTCGATTAGTCACACTTAATCCAGTGACAGAAGATTAATCTTCAACAATTTTGATTTTTGATTGATAATTTATTAAGAAAATAAATAAAATCCAAATTTTCTGGTTATGGCTTCCTATTGTAAAGATTTGCTTTGGGCCGTTAGGCAGACAAAACCACACATCTGAAGATGTCACCTCGGGCTGGTGGAAATTGTAATGGGAGTTTTATTTATTTTATGTCAGAACGTTTTTAAAAGGTTTTTTTTTTTTTTTTTGGAAATCTCAGATCCTAAAAATGTTTTATTGTCAAAGAACTTTTCACTTACAAGGAATTTTATGTTGTGATGATTTTGGGAGAGAAAAAAAATATTTTATGTAGGACACCTACATCAGGTAAAAACCCACAGTGAGCAGAGTAGGATTTAATGGATCATCTCTCTTGGCAGCAGCTTTGGATGATTTTGTTTTTAGGACACCTGACCAACATCAAGAATGGATAAGCCTTTGGCAGCTCTGTTAACCCTCAGAAAAAGTAATTCATAACAGTGTTGGAAGGATTTAATGTCCTTCTTTGGATTGGAGAACCTCGAGAACATTTGTGATGCGCGGTGTTGCCATGGGTAACCAGGCAGATTTGACTTTGTTTTTACTTTGCTGCGGATGAAAGGGATAGGAACGAGGACAGGGACAAAGCTTGTTAATGATGACATGGGTATGTAACCCCATATTGAGGTTATTCGGTTCAAAGGGGGGAGGGGAGGGCAGAGGACCACCGAGTGAGGATTGTATTTGTAAACAGATCAGAGAGTGGGGTTGTCCCTCCCTGACGTCACACCTCGTGGTTAAGTCTCTTTGTTCTCGCCTCTGTGATTTGTGAACCCAAAGAAAGTTCATGTCCCACCTTTTGAAGAAGGGCAAACGTCAGGGAAAATGAATCCCCTGTCGATTCTGACACTTGAGTAGAGACGTCTCAGTCGAAGGACTCAACTGATGGGATGCTTTTTTTCCCCCAAGTAATTTTTTGGAGTAGCAGCATGATTGATTGGAGATGATGGATTAATGGATTAATAAGGAGCAGTACTTGCTACAGCATAAATTAGATGACTGATGTTCAGAGTGGATCAATAATTCAGGTCAGAGTGATGTTTCAATCCTGACCATGAGCTGATTGCTTATACAGTATAAAAAGAGTGGGCAAATTGATATAAACGTAAAATCATGACTGCAAATCCTTTGCTATTATTGATGAGTGACTGACCCTATGAGAAGGAGCTGGAAGGACTCCAAATCCCAATCTATTCAAATGGACAACATCTATTACTATTTCAAAAAGATCTCATATATATATCCAAAACAGTTGTATGAAAGGAAACGTCAAAATATTGTGCATGATTATAAACAAAACATAATTAACCAGAAAAACTCTTTGTTATCATACACTAACAATCATGATGTTTATCATCTTGGGCAGGTTCGATTGTTCATCACAGCAGCCATCACAGAACCAATCAGCTTGTTGGTACAATATATATATATTTGAGTGTGATGTCCATTTGTAGACACTTTGCCTTGAAAACAATCCCATGTTGTCTATTTAAATACATTCATGGTTTGGAGTTCGTGTGCAGGTGTTAGTGTTTTCATCAGTGCCTGAAGTCAGTGACCCATAGACATCCACTTTGTGTCTTTCCTGATGATGCTCCACCATCTTCAGTTGAAGCTATTCTCACTTCTTGCACGTTTCAGGCCAGTCCTTAGCTCGATTGGACTAAGATCAGGTGATTGATCGGGTCGGGCAAGAGTGTTGGGTGGTCCAACAAATCCTTGGTTGTTTTCCTTAATGTTTACGATCATTGTCCTAAAATTGTGACTAAAATCTTTGTGCAAAATCTTGCATACTGTTCACCAAACACAGATGTGACCACCCTCACTTCAACCTATTCATTCTTTCATTTTAACACAAAGAAACAAGTTGTTGTCATGTAAGTAATCATTAATGGTTACACATGTATGATTGTTGATTGTACTACAATACAGGGCTGCAACGCTTAATCAATTAATCGTTTAGTTGTGGACTAATAAATTTAAAGGCAAAATTATTTGATATTCACTTTGAGTATTTTTTAAAGTAAAAAGTCTGTTTCCAATTTTTAAATGTGAACATTTTCTGATGTCTTTACTCGCCTATGTTAGTAAATAGAATGTCTTTGGGTTGTGGACGAAACAAGACATTTGAGGACGTCATCTTGGGCTTGGAAAATACTGATCAACAATTTCAAACACTTTTCTGGCATTTCATAGACCAAACAACCAATGGATTAATCAAGAAAATAACTGACAAGAGTTATTGACTGTAAATACTCACTAGTTGAAGTCTTACTGTAAGATAGAGCTGTGACTAATGTTAATTTTGAGTATCAGTTAATCTGCTGATAATTTTCTCTAAATATTTCAGCTATAATATATCAGAAAATGCCCATCACAATGTCCTGAAGCCAATTTCATATTTTTTTCATATTTTTTTTTGTCCACATAACACAGTTCATTTAAGACAAAGAAAAGCAGCTTAACATCACAATTAAGAGGGTGGACCTCGAAAAATTAATGATTAATGAGTTGAATATCAAAACAGTTGCATTTTATGTTTTAATCAATTAATCATGTCAGCTTTACTACAGTGTGTATATTGTTTTTGTGCCTTGCATTGCAGAATCAGTGTGATGATTTAAATCTTGTAGTAGAATAACTGTGGATTTCCTGATGTTAGTGTAATATTTAGGCCTTCAAGGCATGTTAGACAAGCAGCTCCTTTTTATATTTAGTTTTTTTTTATTTAACCAATTGGTTTGTGTAGTTGGCCCGAGGATAAAATTTGAAGGAAGCCCCGCTGTTAAAGACCCTCCCACACATATGCACAGTCCCCCTCGGGGCTACGCACTGGCCATGTAAATTTAATAACATGGCCCAGAGCTGTCTGGGACACCTGGGGTTATCGCATTAGGCCGACAGCCCGGAGAGGAGCTCGCAGCACCCTGGAACTAAAGGGCCAGTGTTCCCCCATCAGCCCCACCCTTATCTGTTGTCGTCTCTGGCAACAGGGGCTCACTTCAGTGTAAGCCCTCAGTGAATAAAGTCGCCCAGTCAAAGGGTGGAGATCTGGTGTGGATAAATCTAATTAGACTGGAATGCCCGTCTCTTCACAGCCTTCTGGAGGTCATCTCATGTCTAAAGAGGTTAGAGGAAGTGGAGGGATTCCACCACAACTAATTAAGAAGAACGTTAACGGAAGTTGGTGTTTTGTTTTGGCTGATTCGACGTTTCTGCGGACTGAGATTAAGCTGTTTTTGTTTTTTTTTTGGTTTAGGTGCACCTCCGCCTTATCCTGGTCAGTGGGAAGACGCAAGACTTCACTTTCTCCCCAAATGACTCGGCTACAGACATCGCCAAGCATGTATTTGAGAACTGGCCTGCAGGTACGTTTTTATAGGATTCAGATTGCAGTATTTTTCTCTGTGTATCTCAGTTTCTGTATTTCACAAATTTGATTACTTTGTACTGAGCAGTTCTTCTGATTCAGTCACAGTCTTAATTGTCAGATTCTGCAAGCAATTGATAATAATAATATTAGTAATAACATTATATATAATATTTTGAAATAATATTTAACTGGTTTGGGCTAATTGTTCCAATTCCTTTGCTGTGGCATATTTCTTGCCATTGTGGCTTACCACTAATAAATGCCTGAAATTAAAACCTTGTTAGCAAAATAAACACCTTATCACACATTTAAAAAGTCAAAACTGATCAGATAATACCAGTAATAGGTTGGAGAATACTGAGAGTAAAAAGTAGAGCTAGACAGATAAATAAACCAGGCCAGAATATTGGCCGATTTTAGCCTCTTGTTGATATATTGTTGTTGATATACATGTTGGCTGATAGGTTACAGCAGCACAAGGATGCCAAACTGTGTTTTAGACAATTTGAAAACAGTGTCACAAGTCACAAGCTAATTTTTACTTTGAAATATTTGCTCAGTATATACCTTTGTCACCATTTTGAAAACAAACAAATCTAAGTGATCTGTATCAAGGTTATTATTTATTTATGTGTTTATGTAAAAGAAAAACACTATGGGCTCTTAAATTGTTACCATCTTTTATAAACATCCATAAATCAGTATCAGTATCATTTGGGCCGTAGTAATAGATGCACTTGTTTCTCTTCTCGACAGGATGGGAGGAGGAGAGGGTGAGCAGTCCCAGTATACTGCGCCTCATTTTCCAGGGACGCTTCCTTCATGGCAACGTTACCCTGGGGGGTAAGACCATCTCTGCACAAAGACACCATCATTACAATAATTCTGACCACAGGGAAAGCCACTGTTATCTGTATAGCTTACTAAAATCAGTCCTGGAAATTGACAACAAAACGACTCATAAAGTTGTAGCTGAGGCTTCACAAAGCCCTCCTGAGACCCACAGGCAAATGGTCGTTCTGAGTGTATTTATTTCCTGTGTACTATGATCATGCTCAGCAATAGAGATGAAAAGCGTCGGGTACAACTGCAGGATTTTGTAAAATGATATAATCAATAAAAAACAAAGTTAATTTTGCATTTGATGAATACATGCACTGGAGCACTAACGTCAAACAGCAGTACTGGCTGATTCAGTATCACAGATGCAGGATGTGACTAAATCAACACATCTGTTGTCATTGTGACAGATGCTAGTGGAGTCTAATTATTTATTTTCACCTCACCTTCTTCTAAGATTGCCAGACTTGATTTGGCTGAAGTATTTTCCTTTAAATAACACCACGATTGTTTGTCTGAAAACTTTACCGTACACATGAATCTTTCATTGTATAAGTACAATGTTCACAATGTATGCCACTGTACGATCATACTGTAAAATGTAGCTAAAAAATAATGAGGTTTATGTTTTGTTAAAAGCTCTGAAGCTGCCACCAGGCCGAACAACCGTCATGCACTTGGTTGCCAGAGAGACTCTTCCAGAGCCCAACTCTCATGGTAAGGAGCTTTTCTTTGACTCTGTTTTTTTTTTAGATAGAATTGCAGACAGAATTATCAGTGTAATATTGTCATCATCACACAGGACTAAATATCAAGTGGGATTTTGGTAGCGGAAAACTGCAGTGGGATGAAAAAGGTGACAGTTGTTGGAATAGGGCCGAACTTCGCTGGGCTTTAAGCAGTTAAGCTCACTAATGTTACTGAAGTTCATTTAAACAGAAACCTTTAAAGCTACAGCAACTAAATATAGTTTTACTGCAAAGGTGCAGCAGGGTCCTGACTGTAGCCCCACTCAAACCTCATTTCCACTGCATGCTAGTGGCAGAGACAAAGCCGCAACAAACAGCAGAGCTAAGGCAGTGTACTGTACAGCTCCTACAGTCAACAGTCTGTCACTCCTCTGTAGCAATATTTAGGTATTTGTAACTGAATTTGAAGGTATAATACTAGAGATCGGCCACTAGTGGAATTTTAAAGGCCGATATTATGGCGATAGTTTGGAACAGCAAAAAAACAGATAGCTGATTATTCATCAGAAGTCATCATTTATTTTTGGAGCTTTAAATTGTCCTCAAAGTCAACCTGAGATTCTTTGGTACACCATGACATTACCTTGACTTTGTGTATGAAGCCTCCGTGCAAAACAGTGATCAGAGATGGGCAGTTTTTCTGTTACTTATATTTGAAAAAATGTTATTTCAATTATTTCAAGTATTTTGTGATTGGTCTTTCACAGGGCTGAAAAAAACTCAGATGTAATTTGAAAGAAGATACTTTAGACTGGATGAATTTTGTGTTTTCAAAGTACTTAAAATATTTTCTTCATGATTCATAAAACATAAACCTCATATATGGCTGGACTGTGTATGAAACACTTCGGGGCTTTTAACTTGAAATAGGAAGTGGCAACATTCATCCAGTGCTAATAGTGTTGTAGTGTTCATCTAAATACATGTTAAGATGAAGAACAATGTAATTAGACACAGTCACACAGTAGGAGGGACCTGCTTTCTTTGCAGCTGTACCAGCTGATCATTTAACACAAACCCTCCCCTCTTAAGCTCTGGTCGGTGATGTACACCCCCATGTGACTGGTGGAGGCTGCACAGCCATCAGCCACTATCGGAGCCAAGTTCCACTGATAAAAATAGTTTGTAAAACGTCCTATCGCTGCCGATTAATTAGCCAAACCAATAAATCAGTCAACCTCTAGTAGTTGCCATTGAAGTGTAATATGTCTGCCCAAGTGAAGCACAGACACAAATCACTATGCTGTTGTATTTTTCTTCAAAATGGTGATGAGTTTGCAGCTACGTAGCTAATTAACTAATGCTTACATTCTGTATCTGTGGTCTTTATTTATGTTTGTTTGATTAGTCAGAGTAAAATGAACTTGTGAATATTAATGCATAAGTTGCTTTTTCAGGGTCCACTTTGTTTGACCTTTCACATACAACATGCAGTGGGCTTTTTGTTGCTACTGCAGGCAACGTCAGCCCACGCAGAAAGTCTGTAGAGCAATTTGTACTTACTTCCAGTTTCAGCTGGTTGTTTTGTTCTCACCTCATGTCTCTGCTGTCCTGTCTTTGTAGGTCAAAGGAACAGAGAAAAAACCACAGAGAGCAACTGCTGTCTCCTCTTGTAAAGCAACAGAAACAACCCCCTACCCCACCACACAGAACCACACACACATACTCACACACACACACACACACACACACACACACACACACATACACATATAAACATACATACACCCTGTTCTCTCCTGCCTGTCATCCTGTCAGCTGTGGATTTGGAATAAATCACAGGAAGTCTGGTTGGGGTTGTTGCCCGCTTTGGTTGAACGCTTGTCCAATCTGAGGCTTTTTTTTTTGTGCCAATATATTCACTTTTTGCCCCCCCAACCTTTTACTGTGTCGGCAGAATTTGCTGTTGTTATTCCTTTTTATTTGAAGATCATGACATGAACGATACCCCACGCTCCCTCACGGACCCATTCGCTGCTGGACACGTTTTAAAGAGCTGTCATATGTATTGGAAAAAGACCCGGGAAGTCTTCGCTCTTCATGGACACTCAGTTGCTATAAGGATGTGTGGTCTGTTACCCCTCCCTATTAGTCACATGGATGTTTCCCCAGGTCTTACTGAATGGTGTTAATCCTCTCATTGCACTTAACCAGTTTGTTAATTCAGAAATGTTTATCGTGTTTTATCATCTTTTCCCACAATGGCTTTTTTTTTATTGGTCAGAGGAACAGACCTTAATTCCCCATGTGGTAGAAAATGTGCCATCTTCCTCATGAGACTGTTTCTCACTAACTGAACCGGTCGGTCTGTATCAGCACCAGTGGCATCTGTGCCATTACCTTACACCTGCTTGTTCCTGGAAATGGACCAACGGAGAAAAGACTTATTATTTGGAAGAGTAATCACCTGAGGGGACATACAGGTCCACGAGAAACGGGATCAGACTCAAGGCTTGTGAAAGATGGAGTCTGACGATTTGGCGGGTTGCTTGTGTGCCATCAGGTGTCGTGTTCGCACCTCTGGCTTTGACTTTATTGACTAGGCTGTCAATGCTCCCTTGCAGTGGGAGCCATCACGGCGGGCCAGTTAAACGCAGACAGAAGAAGCAGTTGAAGATGGGAGGGAGGAGTGTCGTCGGTGCAAGCCCCACCTCTACTGGACACTGAGAACGAGGCACGGGAAGAGTTTCTCCCGCTTGGATAAAGAGAGTTAAAAGGAAATTTTTTGGCGGTGCTTCACCTCCTTTTCATTTGGATGCTGTCTTTACTTCTTGTTTGCCTTTTATCGTGGAATTCAGTAATATCATTAATATTGAAATTTAAATATATCGATTTTTATCTTGTGTATAGGTATTTGTTCAATTTTAGTGTGGGTGAGTTTGTGTATGAGTGTGTCTGAGGGTGTGTGATGCACATGGCATACTGTATGAGGACTAGTGAGGGCATGTGGTCTTAAAAAAAAGGGTGGTGCACTGGGAGTGTTGATGGGCTGCAGTTTCTTCAGAAACAGTCGGAAACCTTTTGATTCCTTCCATTCAGTGTCCTTTGGTTTGTGTTTTTGTCAATCAATGTCACTGCTATGAAGTTTAGCTCAGTATGAATAAATGTAAAAACTAAAATGCAATGTGGTCTACATAAAAGCTTGTATTATAAATTAATAAATCTTTAAATAAGGCAACTTGTCTTGATTTGTTTTTCAATATTTCTTGAATGGCAACTAAAAGAAAAAGGCTGGTGGCTACGGTTATTTTTATTGTCAATTAGTCCATTGAGGTGTCGTAGTATACTGGTATTGATGATAAACATGATATTTCACAAAAGAAATACTGATATTGTATTAATTATACACAGGGTTGGGAAGGTTACTTTTAAAATGTAATAGGTTACAGGTTACTTCTTACCATGTTAAAAATGTAATTAATAATGTAGCTTTTTTGATTATTTCATCAAAGCAATGCAACTCATTACATTTGATTACTTTTTTAACAAATCTGTCACACTGGGCAATAAAGCTGAAAAAAATGTCCAGAAATAGGCCAAAAGAGGACATTCCTGCACAGCAACAGGATGCAAAGCAACAGAATGAATGTTTTATGCAATATATAAACTTTTTACTAAAAAGATTATATACAGATGTAACCCCTATGTGATTTAATTATATTTTTTTCTCAGTAACTGATAACAATTACATTTATTTTTGCAATTTTCTTATGTTTAACTAGTTACTACCCAACACTGATGAAACACATGGTTATATCGTGGAAAATTTCCTGTGCCTCTAAATAATATTTATTTATTTATTCTCACTTTGTCTTTCTCTCTAGCTACAATTGGATTTTGAATGTAATTCATAAACCCAAAAAAAATCCCCGAATGCTGGTGCTTTTTAAAACAAATGTGTGGAAAACTGTGATGGACATTTTGCAGTATTTCCAGAGTCAAAGGTAACATCAAATATCTTGTTTGCCTGATTAAGAGCTGCAACAATTGGTCAATTAACCTATTAGACAATCAGCAGAAAATTAATGGGCATGGAATAATCATTTGTCATTTATGTAAAAAAAACAACAACAACAATCATTTACTGGTTTAATGTTCCTTAAATTGAGAATTTGATGATTTTCTTTGTCATTCATGATAATTAAGTGAGTAGCTTTGGATTTTTGTATTGACGGTCAAATAAAACCTACGTTATTTGGATAGTCCGCCTACAGATAGTTCATAGAGTATTTGTAACATAACAGGTTATTAGTTCAGATTTAACAATCCGACTGATTTGTCTGATTTTGTAGATGTTAAACACATCATCTATAGACTATATGTGACAGCTCAAGAACATACCTACATATTCTCGCAATAATTTAGTTTTACTGTATAGTTCAAGTTCATCTAAATTATTTTGAGAATATGAAGGTATGTTCTTGAATTCTCACATATACTTCATATATAAACATCTGCAAACAAAGCTAATCAGTCAAAGTGTTGAATCTAATCAACAAATAAGTTGTTGAAATGCACCATAAATACTACTTACAAATATTCTATTAACTATCTGTAGGTGAGCTATCCAAGTAAAGTGCTGTCAAACATACTGTTGGAAGATGTCACCGTGGATTAATCAAGAAAACAAGTGGCAGAGAAATCGATAATGAAAATAATTGTTAGTTGCAGCCCTAGTTTGATCAACATATTTATTATCTTTGAGTTATGGGCTGTCATAGAGGATTAGGAAAACCAGCAAATCACAACTAAGAGACCAACACTGGAATTTCAATCACCTGACAGCAGGTGGTCATATAGTGGGGAGGGGGATCATAACACTTGTCACTAGTCAAGGATCCTTGAATGGATTACTGAACTGTCAGGGGCCTCCCTGGACTTTACCTGGAAATTGTCACTCCAGTTGACATGTACCATCCAGGGAGACTCAAAAAAGACCACAAAGAGATGCAAAGGAACTACAAAGAGACACAAATATACCCCAAAGAGACATAAATATACACCAAAGAGACACTAATATACCCCAGAGACACAAAACTACTACAGGGAGACACAATTATACCCCAAAGAGACACAAAATGACTACAAAGAGATACAAATATACCGCAAAGAGACATAAAACTACTACAAGGAGACACAAATATACTCCAAAGAGACACAAAATGACTACAAAGAGACATAAATATACTACACAGACACACATATACCCCAAAGAGACACAAAATGACTACAAAGAGACACAAATATACCCCAAAGACACAAAAATACCACACAGAGACACACATATACGCCCAAAGAGACACAAAATGACTACAAAGAGACACAAATATACCCCAAAGACACAAATATACCACACAGAGACACACAAATACCCCAAAGAGACACAAAATGACTACAAAGAGACACAAATATACCCCAAAGACACAAAAATACCACACAGACACAAATATACCACAAAGACACCCAAATATACCACAAAGAGACACACAACAAAAAAGTGGAAAACTACCACAAAGTCTGTGTGTCTTGCTCCTATGAAGGAAAGGTGGTGGGGCCTTTTGTATATCTGCTCCCAGGGGCCTATTTTCTGGTAATCCACCCACTGAAGGATCAGTAAGAAATCAGTAGCAATGATACCCCTGTGCTGAGAACTTTTTTGTTTTATCAGTCTCCTTCTTTAATGATCAAACAACATGCAGTTTTAGTTACTTACCTCTAGGTGGTGATAGCTCTCTGTGGGCCTAATGAGTGGGGGTCATAATGGGCTGATGGATGGAAGTATATACCTTTTTTATTTTGCACATACCGACTGCACTGATATAAGTTTAAGTAGCAGAATAAGGCAATCATTTGTGAGCTACTGTTTATAAATGGGTCACTAAGTGTTTATGAAGCACCTGACAAAAACTTAACACTCTGTACAAGCTTAGAGGAATTAAAACTATATCTGTGGACAGCTTCCTGATACATGACGAGGTACCAGTGGATTTCTGTTGTTCTAATTGGGTCATAACTTTATGTTGAGATGACTTTTCAGCACTTTCTTCCTGTCTGCCTCAGGAATCTGCTCCTGACGTGTAGCTGCAAGACGTCCAGGTTTCCAGTTGACACTGGCAGTGTACCTTAGGAAAAGTGCAGTCAACCCACATCTTTCTCAACATACTGCACTCCCAAAACCTGCTATTGTGTTGAAATGACTTGTCATTCTACGTCTCTTCAGTTTTTCCACTTGCTCTTATCTAAGCCGCCTTTGACACCACGGCTTAGTGGAAAGTGTAAACAGGAGTGTCCAGCAGACCACAGAGGTGATCAGCAGTGTTTAAATGAGAGTCCGTGGAGGCAGTCTGTTGAGGTCTTTGCTACTTAAGTCCACCACATTGAGAGCTGCTGCAGGATGAATTGCTTACTGCGGTCGACATGAGTCAAAGCATGCGTGCAGCCAGTTTCTTGGGTGTGCTGTGGTGGGCTGTGGTCCAACCAATACTCACTGTCTGTCCCCGGAGGGCTGTCTGCACTCTCAGCTGCCTCCCTGTAGTCCTGATATGGAGGGCTTAACTCCCACTTTGGCAGCAGTACCTCCTCCAGTTTGGAGTGAGGAATCCTGCTCAAGTAGAAGTACATCTAAATTAGTTAAACAGTGCTTAAGTAAGATTGTTTGTGTTGAGAACAGCTCAAGTACAGCACAAAAGTGCTCTTATGTGGACTAATGCGATGAGGGGTCCTGTCTTTACTGAGGTAAAAGTAAAAAGTACACATTACAAACCATTACAAGTAAAATTCCTTTATTTAACAGTTCACTTTAGTAAAAGTATTACCTGCAAAATACTCTTGATTATCAAAAGTAAACACTGATTATTAGAACAACCCCTTTAGTGTTGTAAATTATTGACATACTGACTTATGAGCACAATTTTAACGTTGAAGATGCTCAAGATTCAAGATTCAAGATTAACTTTATTGTCTCACAACACAATACCAAATATGCAATAGATATGCGCATTCCATATCATACAAGGTGCCAAAAAGTGCAAGAAACATGGTGAATTAAGAAATGAATAAATAAAAGAATGAATAAATAACACCTAATAGGGCTAATAAAATGCTAAAATTATAATAAGTAAAAAATACTAACCTGTGCAAAACAAACAAATGCAAGTCATCTGAGCTCTGGTCTTATCTGACCTTGTTTACCAGCTTTATTGACACAGGAACAAACGAGTTTTTAAATCTGTTCAGTCTGCAGTGAGGTACTCTAAACCTTCTACCAGATGGTAGCAGCTCATACTCGCCATGCATGATGTGTGATGGATCGCAGATAATTTTATTTGCTTGTTGCAGAGTGGCCTGTTCATAAATACTCTGAATGGAGAAGTGCTCTTTAACACCAATAATTTTTCCAGCAGCATGATTTAGCCAAAACAGTTTGTTCTTTAGCTGCACAGAGAGATTGCCAAACCAAGCTGTGATACTATACCTGATCAGACTTTTTAAGAATGCCTTATAAAAAATCAACATAAATCTTTGATCAACACCATGAATTCTCAGACGACGTAGAAAATGCAACCATTGCTGTAGTCTGCAACAGAGGCTGTCGACGTGTGTGGTCCAGGTGAGTGCGTTGTCAGTAAAGACACCCAGATATTTGTATGACTGCACCTGGGCAATGGCTTGGTTGTGGATGACCACGGGCCTGTGGTCATCCACTCCTCGAGGGTCGAACACCATTTCTTCAGTCTTATTCACATTCAGAATAAGGTGGTTATCGTCGCACCACTCAACAAACCTCTGAATTTCCAAAAAGTAGTGTGCTGCATGAAACTGCTTTACTACTGCACTACAGACTATAATTAAACATTTACTAATACATCATATAATGTTCATCATGTATCTGAACCTAAAAAAGACTAGTTACAATAGTTTTTAAATAAATGTAGTTAACTAAAAAACAAAATCCCTCTTAAATGTGATGATTTAAAAGCATGAAATTGAGTAAAATGAAAAAACTGTGTTACAAGTGACTAAATCTAGTACATGTAGGCTGCTTAGTTACATATCAGGTCTACTGTTTGATCACATTTTATTTCTCTGCCCTTTTAATCCATTTTGACACAATAACTTTATTGATTTAAGCTTTATTATTGACTCTGAAAACAGCAGCTGATAAACAATTTCTTCTGG